CTTTCAGGCTCATGCTATTGACACTGAACTCTTGCAGAGGGGGAAGAAAGCTCACTGCATGGCAAAGCACATGGAAGCAGTTAGCAGCCTGCTCTTCAGAGACTCTCTGGTTTTCTGATATCTCCTCCCCTGTATTGTGTCAAACGGTCCCTTGGTAAGGGATGGATTGGGACCTAAATGTGAAGGGCAAGCATCTGAGAGTGTGTGTGCACTCCAGGCGTTCCCATCTCTTCACACCAACAGACCTTTCAGTTCAGCATCCAGGAAACTGGCAAAGCTTGATTTGATTACTGTCTAATTAGCAATGCCACTCTGGTCACGTGAACAGGATCTGCGGGAGAAGACGAGTATGGAAGATGGGCCATATGGCGGTTCCTTAACACTATTAGTCAGAGGGAATGCACACAGAAAGGAAGAAATGTCACTGTTACCTCTAGGGAGTAGCGGTATCCAGGGTTCTCGTGCATCAGGTAAGGCCACCAGAGGTTTGGGTTCAGGACTTTTAGCTTTCCAGCTGGCCCATCGCCTGTAGCAACCACTTTCCCTTCTTGGTCACGTAAACTCAGGGACAAGGAATAGAGTGTGCTGCCAACAACCGACACCTGATATTGCACCATTGCTGGTTCAAAGGAAACAAAAGACAATCAGAGGCTGCCAGGAAAGGAAAAACACATGCATTAAATGTTAGAGGGTTTTTCACATACAGCAGCATTAAAAAATTAGGGAGATGTAGAACAGCAACAGAGTGGCATGCATAGAATGTAGGAAGCATGACCTGTCTAGAGGTTCAGAAGTTTCCAGCAAGATTTGTGTATCACACAATTCTGTTACTTAGATATAATCCTGCTTTAAGTGGCAGGAAGACTGCCCCTCCTGAGAAATTCTACTTTGAGAACCATCTGATCATCCTTTCACTTTTAACATTACTCTTTTGAAAGTGCTTCTTTATTTTCTTATTGCTTCTGAACTCGCTATCATATTCTTGCAGCTGCTGAGCTGTGCAATAGACCCGCTCCGGTTCAAGAGAAAGCCACTGTGAAACAAATTCAATCAGACTTTTGCAGTATATTTTCTCAGCTGCCCTTGTCATCTCCATTTGGAGCCTGAGGTAGCTGCTGTAATTGTTCTGGACCTACCAACACTCTCTGATGAAGTAGTTGTCACAGTAATATCATCTATGTAGACAGAAGGAGTGGTGTAAAGCACAACCGGGCGATGGATTCCAGCATAATTAAAGAAATCAAACCTGATGTTCTGTACAAAATAGTTCTTGGGATACCTGAGTGAGCAAGACAGGAGAAATGGCTACATTATGTTTCATTACACATGAACTGAAGGCAGCATATAGATGCTGGCAACGTAAAACAGCCATGTAAAAATAGATGCCAGCTGGTAAAATAGTCTTTACAACAGGATGGATCTATTTCTCAGTAGTGCTACTGCTGCTACACTGAAGGGAACTACCAGTTAACGAACATCTAATGCACTGAATGTGTTTGGTCCTTCAGAATAGCTGGTACTTGTAGTTTCCAGCTGAATTTAAGCTTGTCAATCAGAGAGTGTAGCGATAGGAGGAGGGGTAACGGCTTTAAACTGAAAGAGGGGAGATTCAGATTAGATACCAAAAAGAAATTCTTTGCTGTGAGGGTGGTGAGACACTGGAACAGGCTGCCCAGAGAAGCTGTGGCTGCCCCATCCCTGGAGGGGTTCAAGGCCAGGTGGGACAGGGCTTTGAACAACCTGATCTGGTGGGAGGTGTCCCTGCCCAGGGCAGGGGGTGGAACTGGATGATCTTTAAAGTCTCTTCCAACCCAAACCATTCTGATTCTCCAATCTGCTGCTGATTCAACTTGGCACTTAATTTTAGTTCCCTGTGTATAAAACACATGCAATAACTCAGTGCAGACTCCTCATAACACCAAAGCTTAAACTCCTCCCTGCTCAGCTGATTAATTTTGGCATAAATAACAACCAATACAACCAAGTTGCTCGGAGGGTCTTATGAACCAGCAGCTGAATAAATTCCCATTCTCTCATCCCTGGGATACGCTCAGCAGCACAGGGTTTCAGCAACTCACCTTGTTTTGTCGTTCATGTACTGAATTGAGCCCGGAGGCAGAGTGTGGGGTGTCAGGGTGTTGTTGAGCGCAACCGTGATGCGGCAGGGGATCCCTGGGCTGCCCTTGACGATGCTGCTTATATCTGCTTCAAAAGGGAGGTGGCCCCCTTCGTGCTCCACGACTTGCACTCCGTTGACCCACTGCAGGAGGAGAAGACACCCGTGAGCCCCAGAAGGAGGATTACTGGGGTTTTGTGGCGGGCGTAGCAGGGAGAAGGCAAGGAGCTAGGGCTGGGTCATGTATAAGCAAGTGTCACTGAGAGACACGGATTTGGGACAATCTTGTAGCAAGGAAATGTTTTGGTTGTTTTTATGTTTTAGGTCTTGATATTGGAGGATCAGAGAAGAGAGGAAACATGGCCAAGTTCTTGGCTGGAGGAAAACAGCCAAGAATTAAGAAAATAGCAAACTGACAAAAATCTAGGCAGAGATGTGTTTGCTGAAGAAGTCATAGGACAGATTTTAGTGCAGTGTGACTTTGGAAACACACGGACAGTTTTCCGTACAACGTACCACGATGGAGTAGTAATGGGCACTGCCGAAACGGAGCACCACTCGGGTGTTGAGGTCGTCCTGGAGCCATCGGAGAGGAAGCAGCACCTCCTTCTCATACCAAACCCAGCCGATGTAGTTCTCCAAGCTGGGGTCCTGGGTGATGTCATTGAAGCTGGAAGGCACTGGCATGTCAATCACAGGACCAGTCTAGTAAGAATTGCACAGAAAGAAAGGGAACAGGTAATTTAAAAAAAGAAATGTTACTCTCTTGACTGTCCAACCTTTACTGCTGGAGGTGTCCCCTTCTACTGACAGCCTTACAGTCCCTTTCCCAAGTGGAAATACTTGGGAAAAACTAGTTAGAAACTGGTGTGGTCTGTCACAGGTCCTACACAAGTCAGAATCACATGGGGTTGGAAGGGACCTCTGGAGATCTAGTCCAACCCCCCTGCCAAAGCAGGTCCACCCAGAGCAGGTTGCACAGGAACGTGTCCAGGTGGGTTTTGAATGTCTCCAGAGAAGGAGACTCCACCACCTCTCTAGACAGCCTCTTCCAGGGCTCCACCCTCAAAGTAAAGAAGTTCCTCCTTATGTTTAGGTGGAACTTCTTATGTTCAAGTTTGTGCCCACTTCCTCTTGGGCACCACTGAAAAAAGACTGGCCTCATCCTCTTGACACCCTTCCTTTAAGTATTTATAAGCATTGATCAGATGCCCCCTCAGCCTTCTCTTCTCCAGACTAAAAAGACCCAAGTCCCTCAGCCTGCCTGCTCCTACAGGAAGAAGCTGTTCAAATCTTTTTTTCCCCCTCTTGACTTACAATAGGGAAATGCTTTTATTAATGGCCCTGGTGCTGTGGAATCAGGGATGAAGGAGGAAGGGGAAATAAATGCCCAGGTTGTTGTTTCAGCCTGGGACTTGCCACAAACTGCAGTTCCTCTGGCACAGCTCCAGCCGTTCGGTGTGCGGTGCTGGTGTGCTGTCAGTTCACCGGCACGGGGGGCTGCGTGTCAGGAGAAGAGCTGCAGCAGGAGAGTGGCAAGAGTATCAGATATTTTGGGCCAGATCCTCCAGAGAAGGCTCACAGAGACTGTTTGGGATGAGCCTAGGTTTGTAGCTCCCTGAGAGCAACGTAGACTCTTTAGGATGACAAGAGAGCCAACTCACTTCTTATTTTTAATATGAGGATCACAGGCAGGCAGTGCTGTTACTGCACTTAAGGTCGAGGAAACCAGCTGCTATTGCAAAATGGAACCGCTCATTTTTAGCACCCGCTGCCCTCGGGGTGTTGCAGAACCCAACCCTGAAGTGCACAGCTGGAGAGCTTCCCCTTTCCTACGGAAACCTTTCTGTGGGGACCAGAACGAGGAAGGCCATCATGTGCATGGCTGACTCAGCACCAGCCCTGCAGAGACACTCCGTGTCCCAGCCAGACACCAGAACATCGCAGCAGGAAAACCTCTGGGCTATGAAGTGGGTTTTCCTAGTCTGGGGATGACTGGAATGGCCATGGCATCTCCTTCGAGGAGATTCTCTGATGGCTGAAGGAGGTTGAGCGCCCACGTCTCAGCCCTCCTTTAGGGGGATCCCCCTTCTCCCCCTGCTCTTGGCTGAACTTCCAGCAGCACGGTGCTTTCTGCAATTTGGCAAAAAATCACCCAAAGAGCTAAACCAGAAATGACGAAGGACACACGCGTTTTATGCACAGAATGCATAGCCTCTCTCTTTTATGCCGTGGTGTTAATTGCACCACGGATTTGTTACACCACGACTTGTTTATCTGCTACTTTGGGATAAATAATTCCAGGGTGCCCTTTCCAGACACTTTTTTGTTCACTCCGTGCTGCTGAGGACAGGTAAATGTCGTGTGAGGCCAGCCCTGATTTATTTCCACGACAGCTCAATAGCGGCTGCAATTTGAGGAAAGACGGGCTAATCAGAGGCGGCGGCTAATTAGCAAGACAATTAATAACCATCTCTGCAGAGCGACCAAGCACTCGGCACAAGGCAGAGGGACAAGCCTGATGGGGAAGGAAGGGGGAACCGGCGCTGTGGGGAGAGGGAGGCAGCCCGGTGTGCCCAGGGCCCTTCCCGGGAGGAGACCACCCCCCAGCCCCGCGGTACCTGCCGGAGCGGCCGCCGGTACCAGCGCTGCGCGAAGCCGGCGTCCCTGCCCGGTGAGAAATCGGCGCGGAAGCTCCAGAGGCCTCCAAGCTCCTTCCGTTCCCGGGAAGGGGTGTCCCGGGGGTAGAGCATGCCGCCCGCCGCGGCCGCCCCCAGCCCCAGCAGCAGGAGCGGGAGCAGGCGGCAGCCCCCCGCCATGCCGCCGCCTGACGCTCCCGCCGCCATCTTGGCTGTGGGCAGTCCCGGGACGGGCAGGTCCCGCCCCGCAGGGAGGGACTGTGGCGCAGCCCGAGCCGTGGGTGGCCTGAGGTAAAGACACTTGGAGGGGTCGGGCTGTGTCCAGCGTTGCTGGATTTCTGCTGTGGGTGTGTTTCATTTATTTATTTCTTTCATTATATTTTATTTATTGCCCCATCCCTGGAGGGGTTCAAGGACAGGCTGGATGGGGCTTTGAGGGACCTGCTCTGGTGGGAGGTGTCCCTGCCCAGGGCAGGGGGTGGGACTGGATGATCTCTAAGGTCCTTTCCAGCCTAAACCATTCTACGATTCCTTTACTTGCTTACTTTTGTTTATTTTCAGAGTCACTCATTGAAGCAGGAGGGCAAGGAGTTACTGGAAATGCCAAAAAAGAGCACTGATGACCAGATGGCATCTTGGGACCAGGCAGGGGGATGATCTCTGCGTTAGAAAACCACAACTGGACTCATCTGTGGAGCATGGTAACATTTCCTATTCAGTCCACATCCCCCAGAACTTCATTAGGAATAAAGCAGGATGGAGAAAAGTGTCCCAGGGCAAGGGAGGAAGGAAATGGCATTGGATTAATTTTAATTGTACAGTACAGTTACTGTAAGTTAATTTTACATCCCGTTCCCTGGATGAGAACATGTACCTCCATGTGCAATAAGCAGCTGTCAGTCATGCTGTACATGATTCAATTACAGAAGCAACAGCTCAGTTTATTGCAGAACAATGAAAGGCTTGGGGACACAGAAGAATAGCAGAGAAATGGAAGGTTGAATGGGGACTAGCAATGACTATGAACTATTTATTTAAGCAAGAGATTGAGATGTGATAATCTGCTAAAACCACCTTCTTTTTTCAATCAGCAGGGCCCCACATTACTCAGCACTGACTCCCAAGATGCTGAACAGTGGTGACCAGGAACACGCGACTGTCGAGTCAGCTGAGACGTGTGAAGGTACTGACCCAGAATGAAAAAACAGGGAAAAAGTTTATGTAAGGAATTAAAAGAACCATGAGCTAGGGAGGGGGAGATAATCTCGTCTTCTGAGTCTGTTGGTGTTGGCTGTTGCCTCTCCACATGAATGAAGTGTACATAACTGATTTCCTTGCTGCAGCTAACGTAGCTGGAAAGCGAGATGAATGTGCTAAACCAGAGAAACATGGTTTATAAGCAGGAGTGGACTCAGGAACTTCCTGGCACTTCATTCCCGAAGTAAGACTTTTCCTGGTCTTTGTTCTGATTTTACTTCTGTAAGGACAGAAGTAAAGATGGTAAATGATTTTTCTAAGAGGCAACAGCAATGCAATGTGAAGGATTTTTTTGAAAAACACTCTGCACCAGCAAGCTTGGAGGCAAGTCAGGGCACTTGTCACACAGAGGAAGGAGCTGGACCTGGGACCTTGCAGCTCTGTGCTTTGGAGTGAATCAGAGACAAATGTGATTTTGTGAGAGACTGGCATGACCTGTGGTTTGACCTGTTGGCCAAGTTCCAGTGCCAGAGGTGAGCAGATTTTTTTTCCTGCTAGAAAGAAGGCAGAGGAAGGCACTGATAGCTGGATATGTGGAGTGTGTTGCAGATGTTGTACCGAGCATCTCTTTATGTGGACACACACAAGCAGCATATATGAACATATATGCACCTTCAATATATGCACTGACACTCTTGCTACTCTCTACCTATTGGGGCCCTAGAACTTTACACTCCACAGCCCAGCCTCACTGCCAGGGTCACACACCAGTGAACATTGCCCAGAGCCTCAAGAGGGCTGGGGAACCCCAGTTCAATAAAGCACCTCAGAATAAAGCCAGTGAACTACATACAACACAGTGTTTAACTCCAGATTAGTGTGATAGGCACAACGCTGCATCCACGGGATATCTCCCCACACTCTAAGCTTGTTCCTTCAGCTTCTTCAGCAGCTCTCTCAGCTGCTCGATCTGGGCAGTCACGCTGCTCTTGGCGGTGCCACCCATGGCCGTGTACTGCTCCACGCTGTTGACGACGTTGAAGACCTGGGAGACGTCGCTGCCAAACAGGGGGCTGGGGAGGCAAAGAGAAGAGGTGTCAGTGGAGAGCACTGGGTGCTGTGAGCTGGCTTTACGTGGCCTGCAGAGAGGGTGATTGGAGGATTGGAGAAAGAGCCTTTTTCTGAGGGGAAAGGCGTCTTGCAGCCCTGCTTCTGCACTTCTAGGGCCTGGCAGGAGCTTGTGGCAGAGCAAAGAGTCAGGTGTGAGGGGAGAGTGAGGAAGTTTGGAGCCAAAGTCCTGTGTAGGGCTGGTGCCTCCAGGTCAGGGCATGAGTTTCTTCCAGTCCCTCCGTACAGCTGCTGCCCATGCCCTGGTGGAGCCACTTGGTAGTGATGTTGTCCCCGTTCAGTTACTTCAGGCCCAGCAGTAGCAGCCAGGAAGGCCCATGTAAAGGGCGGCTGACACCTGCCTGTTGAGGAGAGTCATGGCAAAATAACCATGATACAAACCTGATGCTCTTCAGATCTTCCAGGCTGAGATTGTTGATGGTGGTGCCTTTAGACTCGGCGAGGTGGACGGCCTTCCCAGAGGCAGTGTGGGCTTGTCTGAATGGCATCTGCAGTGAGAAGGAGAGGCCACAGTCAGTGACCAGGCAACTGGGGTACAGCCTCAAAAGAAAATATAGATGTGCTGTCTTTTTTTGTGGGCTTGTTTTCACTCAGGGCAATGCCATGTGAATCCAGGTTTGGTGACCCAGAATGAACATTACCTGGGAACAGAACAGAAGGCCTTATCTCAGGCCTTCACTGAGCAGTATTCTGCATCCCAAGAAATCACAGCTCCAAGTCTTCCTCTGATACTTACTCCTTTACGAACCAAGTAGAGAGCCAGATCAGTAGACAGCATTTCAGGGCTCAGGGCCTTCTCCATGTTCTCCTGGTTGATCTGCAGAAAGGAGGGTCAGAGGGTACGTTGTCATAAGCTCCTGCCTGGGGACACTATAGTGGTCACCATGAGGGGACATCATCTAGAAGGGACCTGGCTTTAAAGGACCCTCTGACCAACTAACATTAGGGGCCAGAATGAGCAGTATGGGTGAGCCACTGAAGAGCCTTCAGCTCAGGAACAGTCTAGAGCTCTCTTCTGTGTTTTACTCACAGAATATGCCTCCCCAACCACGTTCAATACTGAGAGGCTGAAGCCTTACCTGGAGGGTAGAAATCACTCCAGTGGCAACCTGGAGCACAGCATTCAGGGTGTCCACAACATCAAAGACGGCCTCCTTGTCCTCCTGTGTGAGAACAGAGATGGAAGTTGCTGTAAGTCAACCTGAGGCAGCCCAAAAGCTCAAGAGCAGCCCAGCCAGCAGAGCAGGCATGTTGTCCCAGGGACTTCTGCTATGGCTGGGTGCCAACTGCAGCGTGCCGTGCCTCAGCCCCTTTCTCAGTGCTGCACACAAGCAAGGAAATGTAGTGGCAAGACTGCTTAAGAGCAAAAATGGGCTGTGTCTGCTCAGTGAAATGGAGTGAAACCCATCATGTGTTTTACCTGCAGGTCCTTGTTGTAGGTGCTTGGAAGTCCTTTGAGAACCATGAGAATAGCAGCCAACTGGAGAGAGAAAGAGGTGAGGCAGTTAGTTCTAGGAAGAGAAGCATATTGCTCCAGCAGAGGCTCAGACCCTAGACTGGGCACATTTCTGTACACAGAGACAAGAAGAAACAAGATTCTGCAGCCCCGGAATGAACAGTTTTCCCATCCTGCTTCTTTCTTTATCAGGCTCACCCGTCCGAACACACGTCCAGCTTTGCTGCGGATCAGTTCCAGGCTGTCGGGGTTCTTCTTCTGAGGCATCAGGCTGCTCCCAGTGCTGAAAAAAAGGTGTTTGGACTCTAACAGTGAGTGAGACCCCCAGTGCCTATTGACACAGGTCATGCAGCATACTGGTCCAGTTCTCCAAGGTACTTCCTGTACTTCACCTTTCTAGGGTGAAGGACAGCTGTGATCCGAGTTTCTCATGTTTCTCAAAAACAGAACCTTTGATTTTACAGTCTTGTCTGGAGCCACCACACAGCCCCACCTCTCAAAGAGGAAGCAAAAAGGAGGCTCCCCACCAGCCTCTCCATAGCTCATATCAACATGCTTCCCTAAGTGTTGCTGTGAACTCAGAGAGGGAGGGCTCTGATTGTGCCACTCCGAGAGACAGGAAGTCTGTCAGGATTGCAAATCCGGCTGGTCAAGGGAGGGCTTTGGCTGGCATTCCCAGCAGAGGAGGAAGTTGTCTCTGCCAGCATTTGCTGGGGAGGAACATCTGCTGAATGCAGAAATAAGTGGTCATTTTGGAGGAGTATTCACCCTAAGGCTGCCTTTCTGCCAGCTTTCTAATGCTGTGTCAGCCTCGCTCAGCAGGGAGACCCCAACCACTGTTTCATTATCCCAGGTGAGGATAGCTCTGGAGTGAGGACTGAGGGAAGGGCTCTTTGTCCAGAGACCAGAAACCTACCTGTAAGCATCAGAGAGGGTTAGAAATCCAAACTCACTGGTGCTGTAGATGATGAGATCTTCAGCTAACTTGCTAAGGTGGATCATCAGCAGGGTGGCAACAGAGAGGAATTCCACTGCAGAGAAGGCAGGGAATCAGCAGGTGAAAAAGGTGCTTGTTTGCTTGACAACCCAGAGAGCCCTGACTCATATTTAAACGTGAGCAAAGAGATTTTCTGTATAAAAATCAGAATTGTCTACATTGGAAGGGACCTTTAATACTTAAATACTTCCTAGTGAGGGATTTCCGTCCCCTTATTAAAGGAGGTCCCCTGGGAAGGTCTCAGAAGAGACCAGCTTCTAAAACAGTGGTGGGAAGAAGGGATTGAGTTGTGCTTACCCACAAAGTCTCTCTCACTAATGGCATCCATGCTGTTCAGGCTGATGGAAGCAAAGTCCAGCTCTGTAAGGAAGGTGATGGACAGAGGAGGTCAGGCTTGGCATGACTGGAGCCTGACTGCAGCAGGATGCCCCAGCGTGCAGGTGACTGTGAGCCCTTCATTTGTCCCAGGAACACAAATGTGCTGAGCAGGGGTTTGTTATTAACCCCAGGCAGCCAGTGTGCAGCAGAGGCGGTTCTGTTTATACTCCCACTCTACAGGCATCTGCTGTCTCAGTAGTAAAAAGCCTTCTGGCTTTCTGAGTCATTAGGAGCTGCCTCCCACCTGTTTCACTGAGCATCAGATCATACTCATTTTTAGTATTATATTACCCTCCATCCCTATGTTAAGGTGCTGCAACACATCCAAAATAACATCAGGACAATGTATCAATGCTTCCCCAACTCTGAGATATGATGAGTAGCCCTGTGTCTCTCAGTCATAGGAAGACATTTACCACTACGCAGAAGCTCTCTATCAATTTCCAGTGGGTTTCCAGCCAGAGCACCACTGCCAGGGAAGAAAGAAACACAAGTTATGCATGAGAGTCTGCACACTCCAACCAAAATTGAGCTCTAGCAGGCAGTAATCACACCTCTCTGAAGGCTTCCCTCCCTCGGTTCATACTGGTGTCACACAGAGTGGCCTTTGGCTCAGCAAACCCTCAACTCTTGAGTAAACCAGAAGTTCCCTTCCAAAGAAGAAGGTTTGCTTGATGAAAACCTTGTAGTTCTTGATTTCAAGGAGGGAGAAGAACAGGATCTGTGGTGAGGAATCTTCTCTTTGGTGAGAGAAGCAAGGGTTGTGCCCTCACAGCTCTGCAGCACGGATGGCATACCAGCACTAGTGGTTCAGGGGATGTAAAGATCTGCCTCTTAGCCATTTCACACAGCAAAGTGAGGCTCAGGGATTACACAGAAAGGAAACGTTACCTTCCTAAAGGCAAGACATTGATCCTCCTCTTCGCCTCTCCCAAGCGCTCAGAATCACGGGTCAGTGCAACAGCATGGCTAGGAAGAAAACATCAAGACAGATGAAGCACCTGAGGTCAGAAAAAGTCACAAGGACCAAGAGGCAACTCTGGCAAAAGGATGCAGTTGGCATTTGCTGCCCACTCAGTGCTTGCGCCACCCAGGAACACAGGGAGAGCCTGTTCCAGTTTGCAAGGTTAGCACTGGTTTATCACCAACCTGGGGGGCCCCTTCAAAGGATGATGCACTTCTAGGCTCCAGCTGAGCAGGGCCCCAAGGGTGGAGAAGGCTTCCTCCAGCCATGTGTGAAAGGTGGTTACCTGAGCAAGAACTGGCTCCATCTGATGGGCTGAGCTTTCTGCAGGTGGGTGTAGCCGGGCAAGATAACATCGATTTCTCTGCATGTGAAAGGAGAGAAAGAGGTGAGCAGGATGGAGGGCAGTGGCAGGAACACTCCAGGGTTTCCTGTCAAGGTCACAAAGAGAACTTCTTTAGCCTGTGTTGTGCTGCAGCTGGTTTATGTCTTCCTCTGCCTGTCACCTGCTACCAAAGCACACTTAGGTGGGGTTCAGATCTCCTGTTCTTCCAGTGTGGTGTGTCTGCCCTAGGCCTCCCTGGAAAGTTGCCTGGAACAGTAATCTCTGTGGCGGGCAGAGATTCCCCAGTCCACCACCACTTGGGAGTGTTATTGGTGAGGAGGAGAGTTAGACAGGGAGTTATCACAGCTGAGCTTTTCTCAGAAGTAGCAACTTGAAACATGTTCAAGTTCTCCACTCCTTCAGGTGGATTTGTTGTCTTCTAAAGTCTTGTGTGGACCTCCCACCTTAGTTCCTTTGCCAGGATACACTGGGGGAGGAGGAAGGTGTGTGATGTGAACTGTGGAGAAAGAGGGTGCGTTGTCTTTCCCTGTGCTGTCACCCCCTGCCTGTCTGTAACTTCCTCCCCAGAAGACCCTGCTGCTGCCCTGGTTGGTGTCAGTCAGAGAGCAAGCCTGGAAGTCTCCTGCCCCTGCAAGGCCAAGGCTGTGGATACGGAAAAGGACTTACATGGCAGCGCGTTCCACCAGGGTCTTAATGAGCTGCAGGAGGTGAGTGGAGATGACAGAGAGGGAATTCTTCATGAACAGCTTCAAGTCAGTCACAACCTGGGTGAGATTGGCCATGGTCAGTCAAAGCAGAATGTGACATACTTTGTTACCAAATATTGTTCAGCAGAAAGCCTTGGCAGAGTTATCCCCTCCTTCTTCTATGTGATGGGAAGGGGTATCTTTCTCTTACCAGATGTGTCCCTGGTCACTGATTTGTGAAAGCTGCTGTATCTTGCTTTCCATGAACAGAACCAAAGCCCATTCTTTTCAGTGTTTTGGGTATTGTCAACTTTGGATCAGAAAGTCCCCAACTGATACAAATTGGTCATCAGTAGAAGGACTGATCCTGAAAGATGCACGGCACCCAGCCAGTAAAGTCATGGTTTCTGTCAGCTTTCAAAAGGATGTCAGTGGAAGTTTGTGGCCTTTTACCACTGGGAAGGCATCCTGAGAACCCATTCCCCTGCGTGGATGAGTCATAGCACTGTCACTAGTATAAAGCCCCAGGGAGTACATGCTGGAGAATGTCAGGGCATGTGAAAGATGGCATAAAAAAATTTGATTAAGGAACTGGAGTGGGGGAGGAATGGAAGGAGGAAAAACAACCAGTTTTATTGGTACGTACATACATACCTGATCATTCCTGCTTCTTCCAGTGTGCAGCTTTCCAGCTATGTCGCCAATCAGCTCCTGAGGACAAGAGGAGGATTTCTATCAGTGTCTCTTTACTCTAAGGAGGAAACTGCACGAGCAGATCTCCTCCTTGCCTGGAAGGGACTCAGCTCTAGGATCCTGTGAGTAGCCATGGGATCTCTTCTGGGGAAGGGCAGGTTTGGGTTCTATGCTTGTACAAAATGCATAATAAAAACCCTCTTCCAAAGAAGGGGTCTTGGAGACACTTGATTGTGCCATAAGGTTGAAGTGGCACAAGGTCTAGAGGAATTTCACAGTAGGAAGGAGGTGCATGCAGTTATCATCAAGCAGATTTAACTACAAGAAAGGGAACAAGAAGTTAGAGGACCCAAACCTTTAGTCTGCGTTCGTTGGCAGTGTGGATATCCTCATCGCTTTGTTTCAACACAAAGACTCCTTTAGACCATTCCTCAGAGATCTACAAACATCAGCAGAAACACCAGTCAGCCACTACTGTTACCCTGCTGCACATGAGGCCTGAAATTGTCCCCAGTCAATACCAACTTCTGCTGTCCCAATGGAAATTGAAGTGGTCAGTCTCACGTGAGCTCGGACATTCCTGTCCTTTCAGGTCAAGGTTGGCTGCTTCCTATATCCTGATATTCTATACTGCTCCTGGTGGGATTCATCTCTCTACTGTGATGATCCTGTGGTGTTCTGGCTATAGGAGGCTTTAAGCAATGCAATGGGAAAGTGAGCTGAAAATGTCAGTGATTGCCTTAGCATTGTCCACAATGTTTTTTCTATACAAGTATTGTATAGAGTCACCAGTGTCCGTGGTGGGTGAGCAACAACAATGGATATTCTTTAAAAGCGCTTTGTGTTGACTTCTCTTCACCCCTATAGATTGCTGTGCATTGCCTCCTACTAACTCGGGCAGCCAGACTCAAAATGTCCATGATTTAGTACATCATTCCCTTTCACAAAGATCTTCAGCACATACCTAGATCTAAGGAACAGGACATGAGGACATTAAAGGATGCTTTTTCATATAGCAAAAAGGGAGGCTACTACAGATGCTGTCAGATAAGAAGCTATTCATTCCAGCATGCATGATAGTTTGTGAAGGAAATAAATACCTTTTCCAGGCCACTCAGGATCTTCTCCAGCTCAGTTTTAGATAGGATCCCAGCCTTCTCCAAGGCTTTGGCATAAGCCATGCTCCCCTGGATATCAACTTCAGCCAGTCTCTGATCAATGGTAATGGAAGCGTTGAGAATCTCCATGACTGGATCTGTGCTTCCACTGAATCTTCCTCCCCACAGTTTATTCCCCTGAGAGAGAGGAAGAAGCAAATTAAAAAGGTGTAATAACTTCCATTATAGTCCTATGTGTGTAACATCCAGTGATCTGCTTATCCAATATAAAGGCCATGTTCAACTATGTCTTTTCAGCTTGGTTAGCACTGATCAGAAAGGCCCTTGGGTTTCAGGTCCTTTGGCAAGTAGTTGAAGAGGTGGAGAACACGCTACTGTCACTATTATTTAGCACTTGAGGTGTCAGGTTGGTCTTAGGAATCTCTCAAGCATCTCCAGAGTCCATGGTGTGCTTGCAAGCTTTGGCATAAGATTAGCATAAAACTGGTTAAGGTGCAGAGTCCAGAAAGGGAGGTCTGGGTACCTTTTAGCATCAGGAATGTTTAGGAAAATAAATCAACAAAAAGAAGGTTTTAATATGCACAGGAACAAAGGTTGTTTTTCTACATAAACCAAGATTCATACAGTAACCTCACACACTTGAATGTGTCATCTACGTTGCTACTTCACTGGGTGACCAAGGACAGGTACACAATTCCAGCCACGCATCACAGCAGGGCTTGTGTAAGCTTTTTTCACCACTGATTCAGTGGCTTCACTAGTGAATAGTGAGGTATGTCACTTGATCAGAAGCTTTTTTGCTTGCCCAGGTAGCCCCCTGAAGCCCTAACTCTGGCAAACGTGCACTGGAATGGGTAGGAATTTTACTCGTGCAGAGACTTTACAACTTATCCAAGATTTCAGAAGCAATGCTGGCAGGCATGAAAAAAGAAATGGGAGAACATTTAAAGGAAGGGGAAGGGCCTAAATATGAATGTACTTGATTATTTCAACACCCCTGTGGGTCTCTTCTCCTGCTGTTGTACACTGTAGCTACCGTGGACAGCAAGAACCTGGCCCAACAGTTTGCAAACTTATCTGTGCCAGGGCTTCGTTACCCAGACAAAGCACTGTTGAGTAACCTTAGAAACACCAGTCACTTTCCCTAGTGACCGTCTCCACGCGTCTGCCGATCCCCGCTGAACCAACACGCCTGAGAGGACAGCAGGAGAGAGCCTACAGAGGTAAGAGCATAGGCACGTGGTTTTTGATATCATAGAATGGTTAGGGTTGGAAGGGACCTCAAAGATCATCTAGTTCCAACCCCCCTGCCCTGGGCAGGGACACCTCCCACTAGAGCAGGTTGCTCAAGGCCACATCCAGCCTGGCCTTGAACACTTCCAGGGATGGGGCATCCACAACTTCCCTGGGCAACCTGTTCCAGTGTCTCACCACCCTCATAGTAAAAAATTTCTTCCTGATATCCTTAGGGCAACTTTGTCAGAAAGCTGAGGGAAGGCAGAGGGGGGAATCAGAATTGAAAAAGAGAAGCGTTAGAGGTCCTCATCATGCATCTGGCCCCCACAGGATGCTAAATTAAAGGCCAGTACCAGAGCTAAGCGTTTGAATGGGGAACAGGTCCATCTAGATACATCTTCAGTATTAAGGGTTTCTACCAGAGGAAGAGGTAGGAGAAACATTGCAACAGATACATTTGCAGTCGGGAAATCAAAACTGAAAGATTAACTTTAGCTAGCTCCAGGACTAGAGAAGTGGCTAGTACAGGCTGACAGCTGATGGGCCCTTCTCTGCAACCCAGAGCACAGGAGGCCAGGGCTGCAGTAGCCATTCGGGAGGCAGAAAGCGTGACTGGCCGAGATGACTAGTCACGTCTCACCTACAGGCATGGAAACTGAAAATGCAGCTTTTGTACATAGAAATGTTTACACAAGCTCCTGTAAAATACCTCCTGCCTAAACGCGAGTCGGTGGGAATGAAACGCATCGGTTATTGGTGTCTCTCGGGGAAAAGCCTGAAGGCAACGGCAGGAATTCAGATTTTAACTCAGTTTTGCTGACGTCTGCCAGGACACCTCCGAGACCACCCCGCCGGAGAAGCAAAGTTCATCCTCACCTCGGCTGCCATTTCGGACGACGTTTGTGCAGCGATCCCGACAACCGGTGCAACCTGTGGAACAGCGGGGTGAGGTGAGGCTCTGCCGTCGGTCCTGGTCCCGGTTCCCGGTCCCCGCCGCCCTCCCGGCCCCGCTCACCTTCCCGGCCACGCAGCCCCGGCTGGTCGCTCACTGCTCCCCGGTCCCGCCGCCCCGCTTTTACACGCCTCGGAGCGGGGCTGGCGGCTCGGCCCGCCCCGGTGGGGCGGGGTGTCCCCCGGGACCGGCCCCGCTCCGGTCCCCCCCTTCCCTTCGTACTGCTGTGCCTGAGGGAGTGTGCTGCTACGGCGTATTTTTTCCTCTGTGCACCGTCAGAGCCTTTGAGCGAGTGCAGGAAGTGCATCCCACTTTTCTTGTCCCCTTTTGGCTTTTTCTGCTCTTTAACCAGCACTGCTGGCTCAGGACTGTAGGATAATTCAGGTCGGAAAGGAGCTAGTCCACCTCTCTGATATTTTTTGTCCTGCTGTTCATCCTCTTTCTGAGTTGAAGATGAAGGGCACAGCAGGATTGCTGCTTTCTGTAGCGTAGAGGACACAGGATGAGTGACATGGCCAGCATCAGGCAGCTTCTGGCTACACAGCCTGAATGAGCAAGTCTGGGTTTCCAGTATCGGTCCAGGACAAGGCTCAAATTCTCAATCTGGATTCATAGCCAACTATTAATTCTCTGCTTCTCACACTCTTGCTCCTTTCCTCTATCAGCTAAGTGTGCCTAAGTGATTTCCTGGCCACAGCAAACCTATCTGGAGAGTGAGACACGGGTGCCAAAACAGAAACACAGCAGGAAGTTAACAGAGCAAACACAGAGGAGGTTTGTGGAGTGCCCATTGAAACGTGCTGTTCTTTAAATGCCAGGAGAACAGATCAGGTTTAGGGCCAGAATAGTGGGAGGCTGATGTTGGGGGGAAGTGTTGAAGAAAGGGAAGTTCTGTTGCTGGTTCTCCCATGTGTTTAAAGCACAAATGCTACAAAGGTAGGATGAGAGCACTTTTTGTCTCCTGGGGTACTTTGTTAATGGCAGAGATTTAGCTCATGGCCATTTGTACTGTCTGTGCTACAGCCCTTAAACTAAACGTGGTGAGGCAATGCTTGTGCTACTGCCATTACCTGCGTGGGTTACAGAGTCTTGCAGGACTGAGTCAATACCATGTTGCTGCATCAGCATGGAGGGTAGGGTGCTGAGCAAAACTCCAGCTTTAAAATGCTGTGGCAGAAAAGAGATTGTCCGTGACAAAACTAGTGCTGCTGTGCTACAGGTTCAAGCAGGTCTAGTGTTTAATGAAAATTGCCCCACCTTCCCTGTAGACAACTGTTCCTTCTCTGCCTTTTGAATCAAGTAGCAGGCATATTCCATCCTGAAATCACTGCAGAACAATAGCGGAGAATAATGTTTCAAGAGTTTGTTTAATCAAACGTTTTCATCCGTTGAAAGACACAAGGTTGCTGCTGTGTCCTTCTTGTTGTGAGGGGCCCAAAACTGAACACAGTATTTGAGGTCTGTTCTCACTGCTGGGTGGTGCTGAGTACAAAGGGACCATCATTTCCGTAGTCCTCCAACCTCCCATTCAAGAGACACATTTTCAAGTCTCTTGTTGTAGACAGACACTCCTGCTGCTCTCTACCTACCAGCCCCCAAGAGCTTGAACACCCCATAAACCAGCTCCACTGCCAGGGAGGGTAAAGCCCTCAATCTTTCACACCAGTGAGCATTGCCCCAAGCCTCAAGAGGGCTGAGGAAGCCCAGCTCAATTTTGCCCCTATGAAGAAAGACGCAAGACAGGAGTTTCAGTGAACTACATACAACACAGTGTTTATTAATTCCAGATTAGTGTGATAGGCACAACGCTGCATCCACGGGATATCTCCCCACACTCTAAGCTTGTTCCTTCAGCTTCTTCAGCAGCTCTCTCAGCTGCTCGATCTGGGCAGTCACGCTGCTCTTGGCGGTGCCACCCATGGCCGTGTACTGCTCCACGCTGTTGACGACGTTGAAGACCTGGGAGACGTCGCTGCCAAACAGGGGGCTGGGGAGGCAAAGAGAAGAGGTGTCAGTGGAGAGCGCTGGGTGCTGTGGGCTGGCTTTACATGGCCTGCAGAGAAGGTGAGGAATTGGAGACAGAGCCTTTTTCTGAGGGGAAAGGCCTCTTGCAGCCCCGCTTCTGCACTTCTAGTGCCTGGCAGGAGCTGCTTGTGGCAGAGCAAAGAGTCAGGTCTGAGGGGAGAGTGAGGAAGTTTGGAGCCAAAGTCCTGTGTAGGGCTGGTGCCTCCAGGTCAGGGCATGAGTTTCTTCCAGTCCCTCCGTACAGCTGCTGCCCATGCCCTGGTGGAGCCCCTTGGTAGTGATGTTGTCCCCCTTCAGTTACTTCAGACCCAGCAGTAGCAGCATTGAAATGCAGGCCAGGAGGATTTTGGGGTGCTGTCTGGCCCAGGCATTTTGAGGAGGGACACCATAAGGAGGCCCATATGAAGGGAGGTTGACACCTTTCTGTTGAGGGGAGTCATGGCAAAATAACCATGATACAAACCTGATGCTCTTCAGATCTTCCAGGCTGAGATTGTTGATGGTGGTGCCTTTAGACTCGGCGAGGTGGACGGCCTTCCCAGAGGCAGTGTGGGCTTGTCTGAATGGCATCTGCAGTGAGAAGGAGAGGCCGCAGTCAGAGACCAGGCAACTGGGGTGCAGCCTCAAAGGAAAAAATGGATGTGCTGTCTTTTTTGCTGGGCTTGTTTTCACTTAGGGCAATGTAACCTGAACCTGGGTTTTCTGGGGTGTGAAGAGGGGAGATAAAACTCCACCTGTATATTACTACCTAGTCCACCTGGGAGCTGTTCCACTACTTGGGATACATGTAAAGAATGGGTTTCCAGCTTTCGTGTTTGTTGACCCAGACTGTTCGTCACCTGGGGACAGAACAGAAGGCCTCATCTCAGGCCTTCACTGAGCAGTATTCTGCATCCCAAGAAATCAGAGCTCCAGGTCTTCCTCTGATACTTACTCCTTTATGAACCAAGTAGAGAGCCAGATCAGACGACAGTATCTCAGGGCTCAGGGCCTTCTCCATGTTCTCCTTGTTGATCTGCAGAAAGGTGGGTCAGAAGGAGACATTATCATCAGCTCCTCCTTTGGGACATGTTAGATGATGTTGGGGGCCATAATGAGCAGTATGGGTGAGCCACTGAAGAGCCTTCAGCTCAGGAACAGTCTAGAGTCTCTTACATGTGTTACTCACAGAATGTGCCTCCCCAACCACATTCAATACTGAGAGGCTGAAGCCTTACCTGGAGGGTAGAAATCACTCCAGTGGCAACCTGGAGCACAGCATTCAGGGTGTCCACAACATCAAAGACGGCCTCCTTGTCCTCCTGTGTGAGAACAGAGATGGAAGTTGCTGTAAGTCAACCTGAGGCAGCCCAAAAGCTCAAGAGCAGCCCAGCCAGCAGAGCAGGCATGTTGTCCCAAGGACTCCTGCTATGACCGGGTGTCAACTGCAGCGTGCCGTGCCTCAGCCCCTTTCTCAGTGCTGCACACAAGCAAGGAAATGTAGTGGCAAGACTGCTGAAGAGCAGAAATGGGCTGTGTCTGCTCAGAGAAATGGAGTGAAACCCATCATGTGTTTTACCTGCAGGTCCTTGTTGTAGGTGCTTGGAAGTCCTTTGAGAACCATGAGAATAGCAGCCAACTGGAGAGAGAAAGAGGTGAGGCAGTTAGTTCTAGGAAGAGAAGCATATTGCTCCAGCAGAGGCTCAGACCCTAGACTGGGCACATTTCTGTACACAGAGACAAGAAGAAACAAGATTCTTCAGCTCCGATATGAGTGGTTTCTCCATCCCACTTCTTTCTTTATCAGGCTCACCCGTCCGAACACACGGCCAGCTTTGCTGCGGATCAGTTCCAGACTGTCGGGGTTCTTCTTCTGAGGCATCACGCTGCTGCCAGCGCTGAAAGAAAGTGTTTGGAGTGTAACAGAGAGTAAGACCCCTGTCTTACAGACATGGGATAAGACAGGGGATGCAACATACTGGTACAGCCCTCCAAAGGTGAGATATACGTCCCTGTACCCTGGACACCTTTCTAGGGTGTAGGAAAACTGAGTGTGTGGAATTTCTCATGTTTCTCAAAACAGAGCCTTTGCTTTTGCAGTCTTTACTAGAGCCATCACACAGCTCCACCTCTCAAAGAGGAAGCAAAATGGAGGTTTGCCTCCAAGCCCGTCCAGTGTTGGTATTAACAGGGCAGCCAAAGTGTTGGTGTGGCCTCAGAGAGGGAGGGCTGTGATTGTGCCAGAGACAGGAAGTCTGTTAGGATTGCAAATCCGGCTGGTCAAGGGAGGGCTTTGGCTGGCATTCCCAGCAGAGGAGGAAGTTGTCTCTGCCAGCACTTGCTGGGGAGGAGTGTCTGCTGAATGCATGCTTAGTTGAGTTACCAGAATCAGAAAGAAGTGGTTATTACTGAAGAATATTCACCCTTAAGGCTGCTTTGCTGCCAGCTTTCTAATGCTGTGTCAGCAGGGAGACCCCAACCACTGTCTCCATTCTCCCAGGTGAGAAAAGCTGAGGAGAATTACTCCCCAGCATCCAGAAACCTACCAGTAGGTATCAGAGAGGGTTAGAAATCCAAACTCACTGGTGCTGTAGATGATGAGATCTTCAGCCATCTTGCTAAGGTGGATCATCAGCAGGGTGGCAACAGAGAGGAATTCCACTGCAGAGAAGGCAGGGAATCAGCAGGTGAAAAAGGTGCTTGTTTGCTTGACAACCCAGAGATCCCTGACTCATATTTAAACGTGAGCAAACAGATTTTCTGTGTAAATACTTCCTAGTGAGGGATTTCAGTCCCCTTATTAAAGGAGGTCCCCTGGGAAGGTCTCAGAAGAGACCAGCTTCTAAAACAGTGGTGGGAAGAAGGGATTGAGTTGTGCTTACCCACAAAGTCTCTCTCACTAATGGCATCCATGCTGTTCAGGCTGATGGAAGCAAAGTCCAGCTCTGTAAGGAAGGTGATGGACAGAGGAGGTCAGGCTTGGCATGACTGGAACCTGACTGCAGCAGGATGCCCCAGCGTGCAGGTGACTGTGAGCCCTTCATTTGTCCCAGGAACACAAACGTGCTTAAGTCTTACACTGACTGGGGCCTTGGTTATTAGCCCCAGGCACCCAGCATGGAGCAGAGGTGCCTCTTCTTGCTCCCACCTCACTTATTGCAGTAAGAAGCCTTAAAAAGAAAGGCTTTGGCTCCTGGACAGTGCATTACTGTGCCATTGGGAGATGTAAGAATGTTTCCCTCCTTCCTAGATATTACAAGTAGCCCTGTGCCACTCAATCAAAGGGAGACATTTACCACTACGCAGAAGCTCTCTGTCAATTTCCAGTGGGTTTCCAGCCAGAGCACCACTGTCAGGGGAGAAAGAAACACAAGTCATGCATGAGAGCCTACACGCTCCAACCACAACTAAACTCGAGGAAGCAGGGAAGGCACATCTAAAGACTTTGCAGAGCAAGGCCCATTGATTACAAAAACTGTAGACCTTACCTTCCCAAAGGCAAGACATTGATCCTCTTCTTCAACTCTCCCAGGCGCTCAGAATCACGGGTCAGAGCAACAGCGTGGCTGGGAAAGGGCGTGAAAAGACATGAGAGATGAAGCACCTGAAGTCAGAAAATATCACTTTCCTTCCCAAGCAGTATGCTGCCATGCCTGGAGCCTGGAAACTCCTCTCAAACAGAAGAGGCTTGAAGTGAAGGCCGGGCACTCAGGCCCTTGGAAGTGGAACAGCCAGCAGCCATACAAGCTGCTCCACGTGATCCCACTAGCTGAGGTGTAACTCTGGCCAAAGGATGGAGCATACAGGCAGTTGGCATCTGCTGCCTACTCAGTGCTTGAGTCCCAGGTTGGTCAGAGCCACCCAGGAACACAGGGAGCTCCTGTTCCAGTTTGCAAGGTTACCACTGGTTTGTCACTACCCCAAGCTGCCTCCTCAAAGGATGATGCGCATCTAGGCTCCAGCTGAGCAGGGCCCCAAGGGTGGAGAAGGCTTCCTCCAGCCATGTGTGAAAGGTGGTTACCTGAGCAAGAACTGGCTCCATCTGATGGGCTGAGCTTTCTGCAGGTGGGTGTAGCCGGGCAAGATAACATCGATTTCTCTGCATGTGAAAGGAGAGAAAGAGGTGAGCAGGATGGAGGGCAGTGGCAGGAACACTCCAGGGTTTCCTGTCAAGGTCACAAAGAGAACTTCTTTAGCCTGTGTTGTGCTGCAGCTGGTTTATGTCTTCCTCTGCCTGTCACCTGCTACCAAAGCACACTTAGGTGGGGTTCAGATCTCCTGTTCTTCCAGTGTGGTGTGTCTGCCCTAGGCCTCCCTGGAAAGTTGCCTGGAACAGTAATCTCTGTGGCGGGCAGAGATTCCCCAGTCCACCACCACTTGGGAGTGTTATTGGTGAGGAGGAGAGTTAGACAGGGAGTTATCACAGCCGAGCTTTTCTCAGAAGTAGCAACTTGAAACATGTTCAAGTTCTCCACTGTGCCTCCCCAACCACATTCAATACTGAGAGGCTGAAGCCTTACCTGGAGGGTAGAAATCACTCCAGTGGCAACCTGGAGCACAGCATTCAGGGTGTCCACAACATCAAAGACGGCCTCCTTGTCCTCCTGTGTGAGAACAGAGACGGAAATTGCTGTAAGTCAACCTGAGGCAGCCCAAAAGCTCAAGAGCAGCCCAGCCAGCAGAGCAGGCATGTTGTCCCAAGGACTCCTGCTATGACCGGGTGTCAACTGCAGCGTGCCGTGCCTCAGCCCCTTTCTCAGTGCTGCACACAAGCAAGGAAATGTAGTGGCAAGACTGCTGAAGAGCAGAAATGGGCTGTGTCTGCTCAGAGAAATGGAGTGAAACCCATCATGTGTTTTACCTGCAGGTCCTTGTTGTAGGTGCTTGGAAGTCCTTTGAGAACCATGAGAATAGCAGCCAACTGGAGAGAGAAAGAGGTGAGGCAGTTAGTTCTAGGAAGAGAAGCATATTGCTCCAGCAGAGGCTCAGACCCTAGACTGGGCACATTTCTGTACACAGAGACAAGAAGAAACAAGATTCTTCAGCTCCGATATGAGTGGTTTCTCCATCCCACTTCTTTCTTTATCAGGCTCACCCGTCCGAACACACGGCCAGCTTTGCTGCGGATCAGTTCCAGACTGTCGGGGTTCTTCTTCTGAGGCATCACGCTGCTGCCAGCGCTGAAAGAAAGTGTTTGGAGTGTAACAGAGAGTAAGACCCCTGTCTTACAGACATGGGATAAGACAGGGGATGCAACATACTGGTACAGCCCTCCAAAGGTGAGATATACGTCCCTGTACCCTGGACACCTTTCTAGGGTGTAGGAAAACTGAGTGTGTGGAATTTCTCATGTTTCTCAAAACAGAGCCTTTGCTTTTGCAGTCTTTACTAGAGCCATCACACAGCTCCACCTCTCAAAGAGGAAGCAAAATGGAGGTTTGCCTCCAAGCCCGTCCAGTGTTGGTATTAACAGGGCAGCCAAAGTGTTGGTGTGGCCTCAGAGAGGGAGGGCTGTGATTGTGCCAGAGACAGGAAGTCTGTTAGGATTGCAAATCCGGCTGGTCAAGGGAGGGCTTTGGCTGGCATTCCCAGCAGAGGAGGAAGTTGTCTCTGCCAGCACTTGCTGGGGAGGAGTGTCTGCTGAATGCATGCTTAGTTGAGTTACCAGAATCAGAAAGAAGTGGTTATTACTGAAGAATATTCACCCTTAAGGCTGCTTTGCTGCCAGCTTTCTAATGCTGTGTCAGCAGGGAGACCCCAACCACTGTCTCCATTCTCCCAGGTGAGAAAAGCTGAGGAGAATTACTCCCCAGCATCCAGAAACCTACCAGTAGGTATCAGAGAGGGTTAGAAATCCAAACTCGCTGGTGCTGTAGATGATGAGATCTTCAGCCATCTTGCTAAGGTGGATCATCAGCAGGGTGGCAACGGAGAGGAATTCCACTGCAGAGAAGGCAGGGAATCAGCAGGTGAAAAAGGTGCTTGTTTGCTTGACAACCCAGAGATCCCTGACTCATATTTAAACGTGAGCAAACAGATTTTCTGTGTAAATACTTCCTAGTGAGGGATTTCAGTCCCCTTATTAAAGGAGGTCCCCTGGGAAGGTCTCAGAAGAGACCAGCTTCTAAAACAGTGGTGGGAAGAAGGGATTGAGTTGTGCTTACCCACAAAGTCTCTCTCGCTAACGGCGTCCATGCTGTTCAGGCTGATGGAAGCAAAGTCCAGCTCTGTAAGGAAGGTGATGGACAGAGGAGGTCAGGCTTGGCATGACTGGAACCTGACTGCAGCAGGATGCCCCAGCGTGCAGGTGACTGTGAGCCCTTCATTTGTCCCAGGAACACAAACGTGCTTAAGTCTTACACTGACTGGGGCCTTGGTTATTAGCCCCAGGCACCCAGCATGGAGCAGAGGTGCCTCTTCTTGCTCCCACCTCACTTATTGCAGTAAGAAGCCTTAAAAAGAAAGGCTTTGGCTCCTGGACAGTGCATTACTGTGCCATTGGGAGATGTAAGAATGTTTCCCTCCTTCCTAGATATTACAAGTAGCCCTGTGCCACTCAATCAAAGGGAGACATTTACCACTACGCAGAAGCTCTCTGTCAATTTCCAGTGGGTTTCCAGCCAGAGCACCACTGTCAGGGGAGAAAGAAACACAAGTCATGCATGAGAGCCTACACGCTCCAACCACAACTAAACTCGAGGAAGCAGGGAAGGCACATCTAAAGACTTTGCAGAGCAAGGCCCATTGATTACAAAAACTGTAGACCTTACCTTCCCAAAGGCAAGACATTGATCCTCTTCTTCAACTCTCCCAGGCGCTCAGAATCACGGGTCAGAGCAACAGCGTGGCTGGGAAAGGGCGTGAAAAGACATGAGAGATGAAGCACCTGAAGTCAGAAAATATCACTTTCCTTCCCAAGCAGTATGCTGCCATGCCTGGAGCCTGGAAACTCCTCTCAAACAGAAGAGGCTTGAAGTGAAGGCCGGGCACTCAGGCCCTTGGAAGTGGAACAGCCAGCAGCCATACAAGCTGCTCCACGTGATCCCACTAGCTGAGGTGTAACTCTGGCCAAAGGATGGAGCATACAGGCAGTTGGCATCTGCTGCCTACTCAGTGCTTGAGTCCCAGGTTGGTCAGAGCCACCCAGGAACACAGGGAGCTCCTGTTCCAGTTTGCAAGGTTACCACTGGTTTGTCACTACCCCAAGCTGCCTCCTCAAAGGATGATGCGCATCTAGGCTCCAGCTGAGCAGGGCCCCAAGGGTGGAGAAGGCTTCCTCCAGCCATGTGTGAAAGGTGGTTACCTGAGCAAGAACTGGCTCCATCTGATGGGCTGAGCTTTCTGCAGGTGGGTGTAGCCGGGCAAGATAACATCGATTTCTCTGCATGTGAAAGGAGAGAAAGAGGTGAGCAGGATGGAGGGCAGTGGCAGGAACACTCCAGGGTTTCCTGTCAAGGTCACAAAGAGAACTTCTTTAGCCTGTGTTGTGCTGCAGCTGGTTTATGTCTTCCTCTGCCTGTCACCTGCTACCAAAGCACACTTAGGTGGGGTTCAGATCTCCTGTTCTTCCAGTGTGGTGTGTCTGCCCTAGGCCTCCCTGGAAAGTTGCCTGGAACAGTAATCTCTGTGGCGGGCAGAGATTCCCCAGTCCACCACCACTTGGGAGTGTTATTGGTGAGGAGGAGAGTTAGACAGGGAGTTATCACAGCCGAGCTTTTCTCAGAAGTAGCAACTTGAAACATGTTCAAGTTCTCCACTCCTTCAGGTGGATTTGTTGTCTTCTAAAGTCTTGTGTGGACCTCCCACCTTAGTTCCTTTGCCGGGATACACTGGGGGAGGAGGAAGGTGTGTGATGTGAACTGTGGAGAAAGAGGGTGCATTGTCTTTCCCTGTGCTGTCACCCCCTGCCTGTCTGTAACTTCCTCCCCAGAAGACCCTGCTGCTGCCCTGGTTGGTGTCAGTCAGAGAGCAAGCCTGGAAGTCTCCTGCCCCTGCAAGGCCAAGGCTGTGGATACGGAAAAGGACTTACATGGCAGCGCGTTCCACCAGGGTCTTAATGAGCTGCAGGAGGTGAGTGGAGATGACAGAGAGGGAATTCTTCATGAACAGCTTCAAGTCAGTCACAACCTGGGTGAGATTGGCCACGGTCAGTAAAGGGGAACAATGACATACTTTGTGACTTGCCACTTCTGTTGCAAAGTAAACCCCTCCTTGTTCTGTGTAATGGGAAAGCACATTTCCTCTCATCATTTGATCTTTTTGATGTGGTAATGCCACTATATTGTGCTCTTCAGGAAGACATCCAAAGCTGTTCTGGTCTGAGGTCTCCTGAACTGAGGTGGGGGAGGAGTACAAAGGGAAAAAAAAAGATTCAGTACATACCTGATCATTCCTGCTTCTTCCAGTGTGCAGCTTTCCAGCTATTTCACCAATCAGCTCCTGAGGACAAGAGGAGGATTTCTATCAGTGTCTCTGTACTCTAAGGAAGAGTCTCCACATGAGCAGATCTCCTCCCTGCCTGGAAGGGACTCAGCTCTAGGATCCTGTGAGTAGCCATGGGATCTCTTCTGGGGAAGGGCAGGTTTGGGTTCTATGCTTGTACAGTGCCTCTTCCGTAAAAGGGGTCTTGGAGACACTTGATTGTGCACCTGGGGTTTCAGTGCCACAAGGTCCGGAGGAATTTCACAGTGGGAAAAGGTGCACGCACTTAACGTCAAGCAGATCTAGCTACAGAGGAACGGGAACAAGAGGTTAGAGGACCCAAACCTTTAGTCTGCGTTCGTTGGCAGTGTGGATATCCTCATCAGTTTGGGTCACCACAAAGACTCCTTTAGACCATTCCTCAGAGATCTACAAACATCAGCAGAAACACCAGTCAGCCACTACTGTTACCCTGCTGCACATGAGGCCTGAAATTGTCCCCAGTCAATACCAACTTCTGCTGTCCCAATGGAAATTGAAGTGGTCAGTCTCACGTGAGCTCTGACATTCCTGTCCTTTCAGGTCAAGGCTGGCTGCTTTCTATATCCTGATATTCTATACTGCTCTTGGTGGGATTCATCTCTCTACTGTGATGATCCTGTGGTGTTCTGGCTATAGGAGCCTTTAAGCAATGCAATGGGAAAGTGAGCTGATGTGTCAGTGATTGCCTTAGCATTGTCCACAATGTTTTTTCCATATGAACATTGTATAGAGTCACCAGTGTCCATGGTGTGTGAGCAACAACAATGGATATTTTTAAAAAGCACTTTGTGCTGACTTCTCTTCACCCCTATAGATTGCTGTGCATTGCCTTCTGCTACTTCGGCCAGCCAGACTCAAAAGGATCCCAAGTGCCAGCAGAAAAGAACGTTCCTAACTAATACTGAACCAATTCCTGGAGAATGTTCAGTCTGAGGATGAGAACAGGCAGGTCACTCTGAGCACACCTCCCTGGGGCAGTGGGGCTGCCATAATGAGCATTGACAATGTGCCCACCAGAGCACCAGGCTGTCACTGGGGGCTTGTCAGCTGGTTCCCATCCTGCTGGGCTTTGGTGCCTTTAGTGGGATGCAATTGGAGCATTGATCCCCTGCCCAGAATTCTTCCTAGTGTATTGAGGGCAACTCAGTGAGGCTACTACAGATGCTGTCAGATAAGAAGCCATTCATTCCAGCATGCATGACAGATATGAAGAAATAAATACCTTTTCCAGGCCACTCAGGATCTTCTCCAGCTCAGTTTTAGTTAGGATCCCAGCCTTCTCCAAGGCTTTGGCATAAGCCATGCTCCCCTGGATATCAACTTCAGCCAGTCTCTGATCAATGGTAATGGAAGCACTTAGCATCTCCATGATTGGATCTGTGCTTCCGACAAACCTTCCTCCCATCATTTTATCCCCCTGCAAGTAATGAATTGAAGAGGCATATTCAAAACTTACTGATATATTCCCTAAAAAGCAGTTAATGTCTGTACCACTCTTTATCCAAGTAAAACTGAGGACATAATCAGGCATGGTTTTTTCTGTGCTGTAAAAGTACATAAAAAAAGCAAAGAAAAGGCATAAAAGCCCTGGACTTTTAAGAAGTTTGGCAAGTAGTTGTAGAAGTGAAGAACATGTCACTGTCACTGGAATTTAGGTGTCACATCTGGCTCAGGAATCCTCCAAGATACTTTACTTCTGCAAGACTCCGGAGGGAGTATGTCCTGTCCTTGAAACTGAATATCAGGGCATATGGTGCAAGATCAGCATGGATCTCTCTTTTAAAGGAGCTGCTGATCACTCACCCTTTGATAGTCTCCTGGCACGGGAAAAATGGGTAAGGGAGTGAGGGATATAGTGCTAGCTAGTACTGTGACTTGAAAGAATAATTAATAAAACCTCACTCTTTTAGGGAGACTAAAAGAAAATATTTGGTTGACAAAGAGGTGTGGGGCCACAGCTCTAAAACAAGCCACGTGCTCTAAAACAGACCTGTAACTACGAAGCATTTGAAGTTACCGTTTGAAGCATCTCCAGAGTCCGTGATGTTCTCGCAAGCTTTGGCAATAAGATTAGCATAAAACTGGTTAAGGTGCAGAATCCAGAAAGGGAGGTCTGGGTACCTTTCAGCAGCAGGAATGTTAGGGTAAAATGAAAAGGAAAGGAAAAAGCCCCACGGCCCCAAATTCTCCCCCCCCGCCCAGAAGGTCTCCAAAGCAGCGCGGCACCGGGACCATGGACAGCGGGCGGCGACCGGGGCCGGTCCCGGGGCCGGTGGCCACCGTCCGGCAGGGCTGGGGCCGGTGAGCCCAGTAGCCCTTTCCCCAGAGACTGTCTGAACCTGAGAGCAGGAGAATCATAAAATCACAGAATTCTTTGGGTTGGAAAACAGACCTTTAAGATCCTCAAGTCCAACCGTGGGCAGGGTGTAGGCATGGGAGGTCTGGTTTAGAATCATAGAATGGTCAGAGTTGGAAGGGACCTCCAAGATCATTGAGTTCCAACCCCCCTGCCCTGGGCAGGGACACCTCCCACCAGACCAGGTTGCTCAAAGCCCCATCCAGCCTGGCCTTGAACACTTCCAGGGATGGGGCATCCACAGCTTCTCTGGGCAACCTGTTTTGAAGCAGGTTTGTCAGTAGGAGCTGTGGGGTGGGAATCAGAGTTGAAAAAGCAGAAGTTTTGCAGCTCCTGGCTGGGAAACCAGTCCCCTGGGGTGAGCGGCAGAGGGAATGGGTCAGGCAAGGCCAGTGCTGGGAGCCAAGCGCTTGGATGGGGAGGAGGTATCTCAGTAGATCTCCGAGGTACCTGAGTCTATCCTCACTACTGGGGATTTTCACCAGAATCAGAGATGAGTTGTCAGAAATATTGCAGCAAATACATTTGCTGTCCCTTTCTCCATTTAAACCCCAGGAAACCAAACCAAGTAGCAAGAAGCACCCCAATGAGCGTGGCAGGTTGCAGAGCTGGGGTTATCACCACACGGTTGAGTTTGCGTCTGCCAGAGCACCCCGAGACCACCCCGCTGGAGAAACAAAGTTCATCCTCACCTCGGCTGCCATTTCGGACGACGTTTTGCTCGTTTGTGCAGCGATCCTGGCAACTGGTGCAACCTGTGGAACAGCGGGGTGAGGTGAGGCTCTGCCGCCGGTCCTGCTCCCGGTTCCCGGTCCCGGTTCCCGGTCCCCGCTGCCCTCCCGGCCCCGCTCACCTGCTCGGCCGCGCAGCCCCGGATGGTCGCTCGCTGCTCCCCGGTCCTGCCGCCCCGCTTTTACATGCCTCGGAGCGGGGTTGGAGGCTCGGCCCGCCCCGGTGGGGCGGGGTGTCCCCCGGGACCGGCCCCGCTCTGGTCCCCCCCATCACACAGCCCCCTTTGCCCATCCCACTTCTCTCTTGCCTCCGGCCCCTGCTCGACCAGGGGATGATTAGCAAGTCGGAGAGAGGAGTTCCTTTGGAGGCAGGGTTGGTGCAATGAGGAGGGTTGGGAGAGATGCTCTCAGGTTGCTTTTTAGTGAAGTTATTGGTGTAGCTTTAGGTAGGTCTATCTGTAGTGTCAGAGTAACTTCTGTGGGGTTTCCCTGACAGTTCACCTCCCTTTCTGGGAATATTCTTGTAGTGAAGGAGTCACATCGCTCCATGTTGTACCCCTCTAATGAGTAGTCTTTGATATGACAGTAATTGACATGATGGTGTGATCATGGTTGCTGTGTCCCTGTTGCCACCCCAGCAAATACACAAGAATAAAACAGATGGGAACTAGTTGCTCTTTTCCCATTTCTGTAGGAGTGAGACTTTTCACCCCACTTGTAAGGATGCTGCAGCTCCAGCTTTGGGGCTTCCCTGCTGTCACCAGTTGCATGGGGTCATTCTTGCCAAGAGGCTCCTGTGAGCCTCAGATTGTGGCCATGGGCTGAGAGGTTGTGCCCAGCAGCCTTGGCAAATAGCCCATATGGTAAACTCATCAAACCCTAAATATCATGGAAGTAAAGAACAGATTTAAGATACAGGAGACCTTTGGGAGCATCAACTCGCAAAGCTATGGCTCAGCACCAATTTTTCATTAACTCCTCAGACACAGAGCACTTTTCTGCAGCTGCTCCACAGAAAGCAAAACACTTACTGGTTCACCTTCCAGAGTGTGCTACTACAGTATAATATGTTTCCATCTGCATGGTCCAAACCTTTCCCAGAGCTCAGGAAACATATTCCGACTTTCTTGTCCACATTTTCTTGGGTTATTTTCTTTCTAACTGACCCTCTTGTCATTTTCTACTGCTCTGCTCTCAGTTCTACAACTTACCTCCTTTTCCTTTTCACGCTAGGAAACGGTGCTTGATCATTTTGTGATCATCTTCCTTCCTACTCTGAAATCCCTAATTTTAACTGCTTTTCTTGTCTTATTCACCCTTTAGGAGCATCCTTGTCCTTACTCTCGGTTTTGACAGGAGATTGCTGGTATGTTGGGAAAACAGTAAGCACTGAATTTATAACCAGACTGAATCTATGTCAATAAGATCTTATTAATCTATGTCTGATATTACATGTGGCAAGGACGCCTGCTTTCACATGGGATCTGTCAGCAGTATCACTGTGTGTTTAGCAAACTTCACAGGGATTAGTTTGTTTGTACTACGCTGCTTAACTCCTGTCCCAGTTTGTATCTAGGAGATTATTAATTCTCTCTTTTCCCATTTTTAGATTAAGCAAGCAATAACTATCTTTTCTGTATAATAAGCAGTGCAGAATACCAAGTAATATTTTTATAATAGAAATGGAAGTGAAACTGTAAATCCAAGCAGAAGTCATTAATGTAAAAATGAACATTGAAGACATAGGTTTTCTTAAAGAGCTGGAGAGTTGAACTTTTCTGAGGGGAAAACAGTGAAATAGTATTGCAAAGCAGGTTTTCTAATATACACTGAAATCTATTCTTAATACTCTCTTCTCCCCATCATCTTCTTTCAGTATTTTGTTTGCTTAGTGAAATAGAAAGATTCACCCCCAAAATCCTCACCCCACCGTTAAATACCAAGGAAGGTCTGAGAGAAAGGACTTCTACTTATTTTCCCTTCTGGCGCAGCAAATGCATATTATTCATACATTAATATAGAATCATAGAATCATAGAATCAATATTCCCAGCTACAGCCTTTTCCAAGTTGATGTACAATGAGGTAGTACTAGAGAGCAAATTGCCCGTTTTGCAGCATTGAGGTGTTTGATTTAATATATTTTAATGTCCTCAGAGATTTAAACTTTATTTGTACTTGTTTGTGTAATCAGTTACAGCCTTACTGTTTCTTTTAGAGCACATTTTTGTAAGTAGAGTGCAGAACTTGGGGAGTGCAGCTCTGGAGGAGTGCTGTAGTGGTTTCCAGGAGTACATTTTTCATAATAGGACTTATTTTCATAACTGTGAAGAAAAAGTGTGGCACAAACCGCTACAGTGTACCTTCTTTAAAAACATTCCTTTTTTTAACTGTCATTTTGGTTTAGAAAAAAGAAAAAAAGCTCTATGGGCTGAAAGTGCTAGTCAAACGCACCGTCAGCCAGACTGATGTGAAGCGGTGCTGACATTTTTTGTTAAAAACAACTTTGTTTAATGAATTTTGAATGTAAAAGAAAAAAAGACCACTATAGGGTGATCAGCGAAATGCTGAATACAGTAAACACCTTTCATGACAAAGAATACAAATACCCTGCAGATCTGCTTTCAATAGCAATTACTAGGCCCCCTGCTTTCAATAGTTAATACCGAGGCCCCTCTCTCACCGAGCCTTAGTGGTAACAATCACAAGCCGATGCTTAAAATGTTGACATGCTAAGCACATTTAGAAAAACCTATGTCTGCATTCCCTATGGATGGTGTAGCATAACTGTCTAACACCTAAAGTGCAGCAATTAAAAATTGAACTAATCAGTTGTAAGTAAGAGGAACAGGGCCTCTCTTAGATATTCCCCTTCTCCTTTGCATGATGTCAGTGAACCTGTAGCTGATCCATATACGTATTTACACCCCAACAGGCTATATGTTTCAATTGGAAAACATTTAGGAAGAATTTCTCTATTAAAAAAAATAAATAAATTGAAAGCTAGAGAGGCATTTGTGTTGTGCTCGTTCATTCCAGCTGCCGGGGTCAGGCATGATCATCATGGCTTGTAAAAAAAGTCTATCAGCAAAGGTCTGGAATGAAACTTTTGGAGAAATGGAGAAAATAAATATGGTAAGTTGGTGCTGGGGGAGAGATATAAAGAGGAGATGCAAAGGACAAATAAAATTAATATGCTGAGGATTTTGAACCTGTATCTAAAGAGAGTGATGGCAAGGATTAGTAGATTTCCGGAACAAAACTCTGTAATTTGATAGTCTGGAAATACCACATCCTCCAATGAAAGCTGACATCCTCCCTCTTCTTTTCTTCCCTTTAGCCTGGTGGGGAGCGGGTCCGCAGCCAGTTTCATGTGCAGGGTTTGGGACATGGCAGAGAAGTTATAGAGCATTTGCTGTGCCAGTTTTGGCCAATTTACAAGGTCAGTTAATCCTGACATGCAAAAGGACAGCATCCATTACATCCTGTCACTGAGTCAGACCAGTGGCTTTCAGTCTACAGTTTGGAGACCTTTCTCCCGGCTCTTTTTCCGTGGGACTCCATGAGAAATTATTCTGGAGTATAAATTGATTTCTATCTGTACTACAAACTGTATGTGATGCCCACTGAATCTTTTTTAGGGATCTGCAGCTGAAAAGGGGCTGAAAAAGCTTTGCAGGAGGCTTTTAAACTTTGCCCAGCACTTAGGTAACTGATGCTGGTTCCTGGAGAGCCAGGAGCTGTTTGTTGCGAGCCGGGGGTTGTGGGCACAAGAAATCTGACAGATTCGGGTCCCTGGATTGCTCTTAGAGCCCTGCTGCAAACAAGCACATGTGTGTTGTATGTGTGGCTGCTTAGGGAGTTAGTGGTGGTGTGTTTGCAGATAAACTTTTGCTTGAGAGATAACGGCAAAGCAAATTAATTGATGTTTCCCTGGCTCTCAGTCCCTGAGCCAGACAATTTTCCTCACTGTAGCCAGCAGGATTTTCAGCTGTTTGCACTCGGTGAAGTGTCTCCAGTTTTCTCGAGAATGAAAAGGGCTCTTGCAAAATTTAGTAGCACATGGATTAAATGGGAAAGAATCACAGTGATGGTAAGAAAAGACATATGATGCTGGTGAGCCTGGTAAGGTGTATGTACAGGGGCTTTAAAAGACTGTAGGAGTATTACACAATTAGTTCAGCCTTACAGTATTCTCTTTGCATATGGCTAGCGATTTTATTTGGAAGGCTTTTAGAATAGAATTTCCCCCTTGTCATCATGCTTAATAGTGGCCAGTTGTCAGCATCTGAGCAGGTTTTCAGAAAACGTTTTGCCCCAGACGAGATGTTCTTGCTTCATTTTTTGTTCTTAATAGTTCCAAGGAACGGGGCGGGGAGCTTGTCTCTATCGCCGGCATTGGTGGTTCAGTGGTAGAATTCTCGCCTGCCACGCGGGAGGCCCGGGTTCGATTCCCGGCCAATGCAGTTGACATTTTTTTTTTTTTTTTCTTTTTCCCGTCTCTTTATTTCTCCTTCCTTTTCCGCTTCCGTCCCGGCCGCCACAACCTCCCTTAACTCCACACCGGCCCCCTCCGCGCTGTCCCGCGGGTGTTCGCGTGTGAGGGGAAGTTCGGCGCGGCCAGGGGCGGTCCCAGCGCGGCGGGGGACAAGATGGAGGTGTAAGGAGCCGGGGGAGTGGGGCGAAGGGACGGGTCGCTCCCGCCTCCCCCCAGCTACCACCTTCCCTGGCCACTCCAGGGCCGGGGTGGGGGTGTGCGGAGACGGGGTATATCCATATGGGCCTGCCCGCAGTGTGTGTGTGGTAAATCTATATGGGCCTGCCTTTGCTGTTGGGGGGTATTTACACAGGCCTGCCTGTGGTGGTGGTAGGGGCACAGCTATATGGGCCTGCCTGTGGTGTGTGTGGGGTAATTCTATACGGGTCTGTGTGCCTGTGGTGTGGGGAATTGTATCTATATGGTCGTGCCTGTGGTACGGGGGTGTATTTCTATATAGGCCTGCCTGCTGTGGTGTAGGGGAGTGCATCTATACCGGCCTGGCTGCAGTGTGTGTGGCTATATCTATATGGGCCTCCCTTGCAATGTATGGGGGCATATTGGGCCTTTAACGCCCCTGTAACCAGCAGCGTGTTCAGGCATTTTGATAAGGAACTGAATTAGGGTTTTTATGTTTGCTTAAAAAGTCTTGCTGAGGCATCTGTTTGGGCAAAACGCATTGCGGCTCAGCCTGAATCATGCTCTCCGTCCCCATCTCCCTGACCCTCATGCTCCATTTCGTTCTGCCCAGGGAGAGGTGAAAGGACACTGTAGAGAGGTTTGGTGCTGGTCTCTTCTCACAGGTAATTAATGACAGAACGAGAGGGAATGGCTTCAAGCTGCAACAGGGTAGGTTTAGACTGAACATTAGGAAAGAATTTTTCACAGAGAGAGTGGTCAGAGACTGGAATAGGCTGCCCAGGGAGGTGGTTGAGTCGCCATCCCTGGATGTGTTTAAGAGACGTTTAGATGTGGTGTTGGGGGATACGGTGTAGGGGAGAACTTTGTAGAGTAGGGTAGATGGTTGGACTCGACGATCCCAAGGGTCTCTTCCAACCTGGATGATTCTATGATTCTATGGTTCTGTGAAATGTGAATTCTCTGCTGTGGCTTCTGGGAGAGAGTGATTTCCACAGGCACCAGGTAGACAGTTAATTGCCTCAAGTAGACAGCTAATTGTAGGAGCTGAATGTGCTGGAGAAAGAGAAAACCCAATGGGTGTGCTCCAGCAATTGCACATACAAGAGAGGAGTCACGGTTTGGGCTATCTGAGTCTGTGGCACTTATACCAGCTGCCCCCCTGGTTGCTGTCCCAGGCAGTAAGTTTTGTTGGTGTCCTACGCTGACAGCATTATGTGTGTTTCTCTCGTTAGCATCACTTGGGCACAAAACAATGGGATTTGACTTATTTTGAAGCTTAGAAACTCATTCTGTGTGGTTAGATACATGTGTGCAGCGCTGGTTCCTAATGAATGGGGGCACGGAGGATGCAAGTTCCATGGGATGTCTATCAGCATCCACTGTTGCAGTTGATGTTATCCATGGATGCTTTGTTGTCATTCAATAGTCTATATTACTACAATTAAATCTTCTATACATAAAACTCAAAAGTAGATAACAAATAAGAAACATCCTTTGAAATATGGGTTTCTATTATGTTAGCCAAAATGCGAGTAGGGGAAATGCAGGGGAATGAGCTGTTCTTGCTGTTGTATCCTGAAAAATGCTGTGAAACATAATACAGGATGAAAGTTGCTGTTGCATGGGAGGAAAGATAGGATTTGCCATCCTGGGAAAGATGCTTTTGGTACCAGTAATAGGATGTCAGTGATGCTGTTCATACATCCACTTGTTTTTTACTGCCTTGAGTAGCCCAACTTGTTTGGTGCTAGCACTTTTAGTACCAGTGAGAAGGTGCATCAGGAATAGAAGACCTGGGGGCTGAAATCCTGAGCTGTGGGTGAATGTCCCTTGCATTGGAATGGAACAGTATAGTCCATTTTGCACTTGAATTGCTGTTGGAGTTTAATCTTCCTAATCTTTTGCCTCCTTCCTTCCTTCTTCATAGAGGGAAGCTCTGAAACTAGGAAAACCTCTCCTAAGTTCTTACTGTGTCAGAAGTATCTGTGACTACACAAAAGAACTATCCAGAAAACACTGGTTTATCCAGAAAACTGTGGTTTAAATGTACATGTTTTAAGCAATAGACTTAAAAACATGAAGTGTCAGTGATATTTTTAGAGGTGTGATGCCATATACTTCGATATTTTTCTATATTATATGCAGAAAATGTTCTCAATAATATTTTGGTTTGGGCAAATTAAAGATTCTAAAAAGAGTTTATACGTTTGATACTAACATGAGATTTCTTTCCTTTTTGTTTAAGTAATAATCTTTTTAAAAATTAAGCATACTGTTTAGTTGATTATTTAAAAATTTACATCAGAATTCACTTAAAATTTCTTGTTTTCTGAATGTGAAATTGATAGTTGATTTATGAGAGTTAGGACTGAAGAAAATTCTATTTCTACTTTATACATTTTGTTCAAGCTGGTCTTGTTTATCAGTTTGGAATTCTGGTACTTCAGCACAACAAAAATTGTTGAAGATTTGAGACTGACTCATTTGCTGTCCATTGTTAGAAGAAAAATAATATTTTTCTGACGATAAAGTGGTTTTGAATTAAAAAATTGTTGTCTTAATTTAACTTCAGATAGATTCCACAGGCTCATTTACACAGTGATGTATTTACTCTATATGACCCTTTCACTTATTTAACACAATAATTCCCTTAATAATTCTTCTGTAGCATTATTATTTCTAACAAAGAATGTCTTTGATCCGTAGGGATTTCTGTAGTGATAGCCTGAATGCAAACATTCTGAAGAATTGCATTTACCTAACAACAAAAGCTATATGGTTTGTAAAACATGAATGAAAGCTAATGCGTGTGTGAGCTCACTTGCTGAAGTTTCACTCTAGTCAGCGAAATGGAAGTTGAAGTTCATCTCAGCGTATTTCAGAGGGTCCTTTTCATTTAAAAACAATGATAGAACCTGTGGAAGTTTGTGGACGCATTTAACTCGTTTGAAAGTGATGAACGTGACAGTTCTATTCAAACTGTTGATGGTGCTTAACAATACATTGTACCTTTTTTCTTTTTCTAAGCTGCTGCACAGACCTGAGAAAGGCCTTTTTTTCCTTTTGTATGGAAACTTTCTGTTGTGTTGGCTACTGACTGCTCAGCAGAATGTGGTGTTTGGGAATATAGGATGTTCTGTGTTAGTTTTTTCTCCCTTTTTTTTAAAATTTAAAAATATAAAATTACAATATCCGGTAGCGATAGAGGCGTGATTAATGTAAATATGAGCTTGAGTCAAAGAGAGTGCATTCAGCCTGCCAGTGGTGGATAATGACTCGTGCTTAATTGGGACAGAATTAAAAGGGAGGTGTTTGGCTGGTGGAAAATGGGAAGCTCTCAGCCTTGCCCTGCTAATAAAGCAGTAGCCACATAAAGAGTCAATAAATAAAGTGGAAATGCAATAAGGTATTTTTACTCAGTACAGTGTGTATAAATATAGTGCCATATCTGTATCTATACACACATGTGTACATTGTACTAAAAATACTAAGGGTATTTTTTTTCTGTAGTCTTGACTAATAAATAAATAGTGTGTGTAACCTGAATGATTCTTCCTTGTCAGTCTTTATTCAAATAAAACTGGAGGCCCTTTTTGGTAAGGAAGAGGTGAGGCAATTTTGGTTTAATTTGTTTAATTGGGTGAGTGAATGAAATAGTATGGCTGAATAAAAAAAAAAAGTGTTATGATTTATGGGGCAAATTGTGCAAAATATACAGTATATTTATGTAATAATTTTGCTAACAACATAGAAAAACTATTTTCCAGAGGTGGCCACAACTTGGTAATTTTAGAATCACCGAAAATAGATTTCATGATGATGATTTTTTTTTTAACTTTATGAAAGTAGTATCTGTTCTTTTAGAGCCTGCGCAACTGAGCGAAGAAAAATTTTAGACAGTTTCATTTGGAACATAAATTAATCGTTTTCCATTTTTTTGTTTTAGAAAAGATGCAAATGCCGCGTTGCTGAGTAACTTTGAGGTAAGTTAATCTGCATTCTGGGTTTAAATCAGCTGTTTAAAGCTTAATCAGTCACTTACATACTTCTTTGGAAGCTGTAAATTGCCAGTGATAATCAGCAAGACCTGTATGTGATTTCCACCTACTCCATTTGATCCGTTATTAAGAAAAAATATTTTTGAAGAAAATCTAGTTCTCTGAAAAATGACTAGTTTTCAATTTTCACTGGTAATGGGTACTGTAGTACAATTTGGTTGATCCCAAATCTATAAAACCAGATATAAATATGTTTTTCAAATAGATGAGGAGAATGTCAGTAACTTTAACTTCAGCCTTATTGTATTTACTCTGTTGCTGTGTGGTCAGTTCGTTGAATCCTCTTGTGTGTGGTGATTTGTTATTTAGAAATTGATTCTCCACATCTTCAAACACTTGTGTATTTGGGCAAGTGCAGGGGATTCACTGCTGCTTTGTCTGACGTACGGTGCATCAGATGCCAAATCGGGAATGTTGACAACTTTGTAACTGGGCAGCAATGTTCAAATATCTTTTTTGAAATTTTTCTTATGAGAAGCCAATATACTGTCACGTGTGTGACACACCAATTGCTGGAGTCTCTTTAATATTGCAAATAAAAATTCTTGTAGAAAAAAAATCAAACATTTTTCGCAGGTGGATGCTGCTAGAATCAATGTTTCCTATTTAACTTTAACCTTGTGATGTGTAGTGCCATCCAAGAACCTGTAACTTAACACCTACTTTTATTAAAGCCAGTGCAAGAAATGCAGTTTTACACCTCTGAATGCTTGGCAGTAATTTTTTTAAACATTTTGAGGTGTTTCCAAAGCAGGTTAGAGGTTATAGTAAGGGTGAGGCAGTTTGCTGATCTGAGATGTGTTACTCAGGACAAACATTCCTAGAAGCCAGCAATGTACCTTGATCTGGTGTCATGGGAAGCTACAGTGCCCTGTCATAACAAATGATAAATATTAGCATGCAAATAATGATTAAAAAATCTTATGTTCTAGTATGGATAAGTTCTGAATTATTTTCCTCTCTCCTGAGCAAAGGTATTTTATAATGAGGTAGAAAGAAACGTCATGTTCTTGTTGGTTTAACTTCAGCCAGGTAATGGAAAGATTTCAGTGCTTTGTTTATGAGTGTAATTTTTTGGAATGGTTTTAATAACTGTTTTATTGCCGAAGCTTAGAAGTTGCACAGCTGCTTCATCCCATTCTGAAATAAATCTTGAAATGTTTTGTCTTGAGCTGCGTGTGCCTGCGAAGAGCAGAGCAACCATCTGCTGACTGTTAGAAGGGCTTTAATGAGGTACTTAGAAAGAACCGTCTTGCCTAAGAAATAGATTATATTATGTCAGCCAAACTAGTATTAAGTGTCTGTTTGTTAAAAACAATGTACTATTGCAGTAAGGAAAATAGTAGATATTTCAAGATTATTGCAAAACGATCTCTGCAGCTATAGGCTTCTGGGGCATGGCTTTTCTGATTCCCCTAAAACAACCCATCTCTTTCTGTTTGCTCCTCTTCTCGGTTGCAGTTTGCCTGGCATAGCTAACATTCTCTTTATTGAGGTAATATTTTGCACAGAAAGTCATGTTTGAAAGGGATATTCAGGGCTGACATGTTGTATGTTCCATGCCTACATTTCTTCTGCGAGTTTGGAGTTGTTATTTTCTTCAAATATTTATTAGATAAAAGCTCCTAGTTTGGGTTTTGGCTTTCAAGTCAGGATTGACAGGTGTTCCTTTTTTGTAGAAGATTCGATGGAAAGTAATTGCAGGATATATAGCCAGCAATGTTCTTACTACTTGTTATCTAGAAGTGTTTGTATTCTTATTTCTATGGACTTGTCAGTTTATAATAGCATTGGAACTGGATCTTTAACAAAGCTAGTTAGAAATTAAGGGATTAAGCAATAAGAAGTGGTCTGTTACTTTGCTGTGGTTATTGGCTCTGGATGTACTGTAAAGCCTGAAGCAAAACATGTGAAGAAGTTTCAACCTAATGTGATTTAATATGGGAATAAAAGAGTAGTTGTGATGCTGTCTCAACACTTTGGTGCACATCTGGCTATAAGGAAAAAAGACACAGTGCTGTTGCAACAGATTTGACAAAGCACAGTTGCAAAAATCAAACCACTTTCCCTGCCCTCAGACTTACCCTCTGAGTCTGGCTCCTCCATCAATATTCACTGCATCATAAATGTGAAGACAACTTTATTACGTTCTTTTCAAGAATGTCTGCTTGTGTGTTACATTGTTTTGATAAAATAGGGAGCTAATTTAATCTTTGTGGTTTAACATATCATAACACCATACTGGTCACTGTAACATTTACTATTATAAATAACTCCACTGGAACTTACAATAGGATCACTAATATCAGGAGCAGCTATAGGTCAAGCATTTATTTACTTGGTTCCTGGCAGTGTGACAGATTTTATTTTTTGCAGATAATATAAAATTGCATCTCTGTGAGACAAGATACATATCCATTTTAATATTATAGGTACATCTGTCATCACAAATCCAGTAGAGCCATAAACTTGTGTGATGTTTTGCTTCAAGCATCACTCATATGTCAATGGGAGCTCTGTGCCAGTACAGCAGGGTATGACCCACCTCTGTTCAGGGCATGAGATAAGATAAACAAGTAGGATAGGGTCTCCCTTGGGGCTCTTGAATAACATTTAACAAGCCCTAAAAATCTGTTTAAAATAGTCACATTTTTTAAGAAACAATGGGCATACTTCTTCATCATTCTGGTGCCAAAATATTTTTCAATTGCTGGTGCGTTCACCAGAGAAGCCATGGTTTTGCTCTCTGGTTGGTAGGATTTTTATGTCGTTCATCTATATTTTCCTGCTGTAATATGTTTAAGTAAAATACTCTCAAATGTTGTAAAACCCTTTATGTTTTTTTTCCCAGGTGTTCCAGTTACTGACTGATCTTAAGCAGCAGCGCAAAGAGAGTGGAAAAAACAAGCAGAGCTCTGGTCAGCAGAATCTGAACACAATCATGTATGAAGTGAGTAGCACTGTGAAATTCCTTTGCAAATTAGCCCAACCTGGAGTAATTCAGATCCTTAGCTCTGTATATTAATAATTTACCCTGTTAAAAATTTACCCTGTTAAAAATTACCCTATCAAATTTACCCTGTTAAAAAACACAGTAAATTTTTTTTTTGGCCTGACAGTCTCTGTGGTCACTTTATTCAGGTTGTAGGATAAACGGCGCTGTCAATGCGTGCAGCTGCTCTTATTAAAATCACAAAAAGGATAAATCATCCCTTGTATTTTAACTGTTTAGTTTTATGGTTTTTTTTCAATTCCAAATATTCTATCCTTTTAAGACCCAGGGCAGAACTTGCCATCATCTGATGAACTAATGATAACCACCTATAATGATTTCAAAGCTGAGGTACAGACGTTTTCTTATTAACAGAATTAAACTAATTATTTCCCACTAAAATAGATATTTAAAAAAAATTTTTTTTTGGTCAAAAGAGTGAGACATAGACAACCTGAATAACAAAATCCCATGTGCAGATAGCAACATCAGTTGGATGCCACATCGGTAATCAATGTTCGATCTGTTGCTAGGATGAAATTTTAAAATCATAATGGAAATATTAACATTTCCAATATCTCAAATTAGCAACTTGGTAACAAACTTGGAGCGTGACCTATTGTGTCCGTGTCAGAGCATTGCGTGAGTAGCAGCAGGACTGGCAGAACGTTGAAAGCACTTTGCCTTGCTTGCATGAGTAATCCCGTTGAGCAGTGGAACTACTCATGTGAATAAGATTTGGCCCAGGCTTTGTTTTTGTTTTAGTTCTGGCTTTGTTTGAAAAGGTACGGAGTTGTAATTCCTGAGCCTCATATTCAATAAAATAGGGGCTTACAAAAAAATCTAATTTAAATCTTCATGGAGACTAACAGTCTCTTCCGGTACCTCTTTGAAATGACTGAGAGAGATCCTGTAAGTATGTTTTCTCAGAACACATCTTAAAGCTTTATTTGCCATGTTATATTGCTGCATCCTCAATAACTATAGGATGCTCGCTTTTGTGAATGGAGTGAAGCTGGTGTAAACTCTAGGTACATTTTCTCTATATGTGACTAAGAAAACCCGAATTTGATCTTGTAGGATTGTTTTTATTCATGCTGAGTGTGTCTTCATAAGCTCTGTGCAGGCTTGTATCCATTGGTACTGAAACAATTAGATGAAACTTACTGGAGCTGCACTTTGCTGCATGTCTGGCATTTAAATTCATCTGAAATTGCTGAAAAAGATTGAACTGCAAAAGAAATTATTCCTATTAAATAATCTTATTACATGGTAAGATGGTGACTTCATGTAGGCATTATTGGTGTATAATAACTCCATTTTATCTGAAAACGTTGGGATGGAACTTGGAGAAGGGAGGGCTGTCTTACATCTTATTGGGCTCTTAAATCTCTCCAGTGAAACTGGTGCTTAAGAACACCAGTGATTCATATTTCATCAACGCTCTTATCTGTTAAGTAGGATGAATTATCCTGTGTTGTTGAAGTCTGTTTTCCTTTACCTAGCATTTTTAAGTGATAGCAGATTTTCATGGAATTACGCTGGAAATACATTTGCATATTTTCTTATTTGCCATACTGATCTTGTAGCTCATTTTTCCCAGTATATGTTATTTTCTGCTCTGTGAATACTGATTCAGCTTTTTTTGGCTTCTGACTTTTCAAATGAAATATTCGGTTTAAAGATTTTCTGAGAAAAAAACCCATAAAATTCTGTATGATACTCTTTGAGTTTCTATTAATATTATAGTTAATCAGTGCATGTAGTATCCTGCCACACGTCTCGGTATTTGCAATCCAGTTAGTGCATCATGAGTCAGTTGTATTGACACTTTTAAGCTTTATGTATAGCTATGCAGTATCAAGTGATGAAGATTTTCTCCCTTAATTCAAAACAAGCATTGACAATATTCCTTTAAATCCTTCAGTTGCTGATGCACACAATGCAGACAATGCAAGGATTTCCTTGACTTTTGATGCTCGTTGTTCGCAACTCGTCATTTTGGGGTCTAATCAAAGTGACATTCAGGAAAATTCTAAGCTACTTCCAGTGAAAAGGCAGCTGTGAACTGGAATTTGTGTGGGTTTTTTTAATCAACTTTTTTTTTTTTTTTAACTTGGGTCAAATTACATTCAGTATTATCTGTCTTTAGGTGTCATGTTTTAAATAAAGAAAACAGATGTAACCTCAGCAAATGTTAGGTGACGTTGGTAGGTGTTAGATGTAAGAAACAGAGCAAAGATAAGTCATCTCAAGTCAGATAAACATTTCTAACACTGCAGTATTCTTGCAGATTTCCATGATGAGCCACCTAACCTGCTTCTATGAAATTTAAGAAAGCATTCCCAAATATGCATATACAGGATAAAAATGACCATAGATTGGAGAGCTTAATGAGTAACTTACGGGTTGGCGATGAGAGTATCGCTGACACATGAAAACTTGGCAGAAGGTAGCCTGGTTTTTAGGGTGAATGGCACTCAGCTTTTCTGAAGCACTACTGCTTTTTGAAAAACAAAACACCCCAAAAAAACGACAACAAAGAAGCACCACAAAAAAAAAAATCCCTAAATCCTGTGTCTTTGTACCTTTCTAAGCTAGCTTTGAATCTGTAAATGTTTATTGGTTTCAAAAGAAAGAGTAAATCTGAGTGATGCTACTCAGCACAACTGTAAGTATGTCTTGATCGCAGCCTTAGCATCAGCTGAGATTATTTCAAACCAAGGAAACAAATGTCTTTCACAAACAGCAGGTGGTTTTTTTCCACAGAGCTCAAACTTGCTCCTTTCCTGTACTCTTCCATGTGGGACTTTGGGCTTTGAACAGATCAGATAAATGCCCGTCCAGAGCCACAGAGGGAAGTGTCAACGCTGTAATTCCACCTGGCTGTGTCGTGAGCCAGTTGGGTCATGTCTTTACTGAATAAATTCATTCGTGCTTTCTGGATAAGTACTAATGTAATTTCTATTACATAATGTTGTAGTTATGTATTGCCTGTTTTGCACTTCTTCAGCAAATATCAGTATAGTATTATTAAAAAATGCAAGTGATTTATGAAAGCACTTCCCACTGTTTAAAAAAAAAAAAAGCCAAACCCCAAAACCTGAATTGACTTTCCTGATTTTTCTATTACCAAGGAGCCTTTTCAAAATCAGCTTGTATAATACACAACTGGTAAAGCAAATAGTAACTGTGAAATAATGCATACTTCCTTCCTATCCCTTGCAGACACTGAAGTACATTTCAAAAACACCCTGTCGATACCAGAGTCCTGAGACTGTGAGAGAGTTCCTTGCAGCAATGAAAGGCCATAAACTAACCAAGTAAGTAGAAATGTGCCTTTGAATAAAAGTATAAACTCATGGATGTGTTGAAAAACTGATCGCTGTGTACACAGGGGATTGTGTACATGTGATAATCTGGCTGGTTTTGATTAACATATTTTAAGTATTTTCTGCCATTTATTTAAATACTCATCCAAACATCTTTTCCTTCCCTCATTAACGCCTACACAGATGAGTATTTCCTTAAGTAGGCCTGTGTTTGCCAATGTATTTCTCAAACAGATTCTTGTCAGTATTTTGGGTTTTAGCATAGTTTCACATGATCCAAGCACAAAGTAGAGTTCATCAAATATTTGCTGAGGAAGAAGTTGTAAGTTACAAATGGGTTTTGAACACAGTAAGAGAACTGAAAATAAAAAAAAACCCAACCTTGGTTTATGATCAGTTTATTTTTATAAAGTTCCTTAAGCAAAAGTGCATTCATTCCTAAGAGGTGAAAAAAGGTGGCTTTATTGCAGGGATGTAATAAATAAAATAAAAATAGATGTGTGGGAAAGAATGTTATTCTGAAGTTAAGTTTTATGTGGATCTGTGAACCCCAGCTGCTACAGACCATCTCTCAGGGTTAAGCTCTCTAACTGGCGTTTAGCACACTAAGAGGTTCAACTTCTCTTTTTATGCTGTTTGTCCACTGATATTTATGTCCATTAGGATTTCTGAGAGGTACATTTCAGTTGCCTAAATACTGTGTCAATCAATCTTCACCCCCACACACTTTCTGCTTCTGTCTCTCCCTCCCTCCCTCCCATAGTTTTTAGTAAAGCTGAACATGCAGTTCATTCTTCTTATTTTGTGAAGTCCAGCATAGGAATTAAAAGATTTCCTTCACAGTTACAAGAAGACTCAAAGGGGCACTTTCCCTCTTTGGCAGCGGTGCGAATGCCTCTTTGCAGTGCTTGAAACCCATAATCCTCTTGAACCTCTCTGCGGAGTGTGAGCAAAGCCTCTTGTAAATATAGTCAGCCCCAAAAGAAATTTAATCAGTTGGCTGCTTGCTTGGATAGCTCTAATCAGTCATCTGATTTTTAAAGCAGAAAGAGAAAAGATTTACTTGCTTCTAAATGGCTCTTCCTCCACCACAAAGGAGTAGTTTATGCTGTATAGACACTGAGTGCATTTTTCTTCTGTGCTGGAAGGATTCCCAAGGAGTTTGTGCTCTGGGAAGGAGGCCCTTGCTAATAATTTGGTTGTGTCACAGAAAGAAATGCAAAGTGAGAGCATCTGGAGGGTGCAGTGCTACGAGGCAACTTTTTACCCTGTCCAAAGCATAGCAAGTTGAGTAGAAAGCAGATTGTCAGCTATTTCATTGACTTTCAGTGTCCCCTCCCTACAATTCTGCTCACAAGACACAGGGATGCTAGTACTTGGAAGCTTTGTCACTGGTATTGCAGCTTTGCTTGTAGTGCTTTCTTTTGTAGAACTAAAGCTGCCAGGTCGGTGTGTCAGTGTTTAGTTCTCCCATCGCTCATTTTATGTAGCAGGATACTAATTTCTGCAGAGGGCAAAGGTGTCTTAATTATTTTCTGCCATGGAGGTATTGAAGCATGGAGAAAATACTCTGTTTACAGTAAAGAGTTGATAGTATGCAAATGAAAGAGGTATCTTAAAATGGGCAGCAAAATATTTCTTGAGTCAGTAGTGAGAATCCTTCATTTGTGGTAATGTCAAACAGTCATCTTCTTTGAAGTGAAATAAGCTTGTTTGGTCTGTACAGGGCAGCAGTTTAGGAAGGCACCAAAAGAATGCTGGATCACAGCAGAAAGCCAGTGGGGGTTAAAAAAGCAAAATAAGTTCTTTTTTTATTATTATTTTAAAGCTTATTTCTAAACTTGTTTCTGGTAGAATCTGACCAGGACCAGGTTTGACCAGGTTAACCCTTGCAAAAAGGTCTGTTACCATGTTGACTGCATCTGTTCCTCCATATGGGATCTCCAAGTGAGAAGTACTGAATCCCAACTGAAGTTGGGTCATAACAGAAAATTTTAGGTATAGAATCCCTCCATCTGCCATAGTGCCCAGCTGTTTTGTAGATCTACCCAAATATTCGCCTTCCCCCACCTGCCTGTTCTGTGACCTTCAATACAGCGCTGCTGCAAAGGCAGAAACAGTTACAAGGTTTAAATGAGCTTTTTGATGATTTTATGTTTTTAGGGATGCTAGGAGGTGCCTTTGGTTTTAGGTATCATCCTCTCTGGCCTTTTTGTCTGAATCAGTCTGTAGGATAAGCGGGAGAATTATTCCCAAGTCATTTCTTTCTGCGTAATGGCAGAAGGATGAAAGCGAGCAGCCAACCACTAGTTTAGGTTACAAATTTACTGCATTTATAGATTATCAGAGCTCAGATTGGGCTGTCATACTTTAGTTTCTTGAACATCCTCCACAACTTGTACTTTGTTAATATCTTTGTCATCTAGTAAAGAACTTGCCAGCTCTGCATTTGCCACGTACTTTACAAAATAAGAAACAGAATTGTTTAGTGTGATCCTGGCACATCTTCTTTTTTCTAATCTTTTCCATTCAGACACTTCAGCTAGAAGTATCGGAGCCCATCTGGCAGCCTCTTCTCCCCAAAACACAGAAAGCATATGGTGTGCAATCACTATATAATGCACTTTATGTTAAACCGCTTAAAATAGTAATAGGTCTAAGGAAATTTTGAACTACCCTTTGGTTCGTAACCAAGACCATTTCAACACTGCTCTGTTGTTAGATGAAAAACTAAAGGCTTTAATCATTTCCATTCTGTGGGATGGAGGTGGTATTTGTATAAAAGACTTCACTCGAGATTTCGTTCCAGTTATCTGGTAGAGAGCTTTCTGCCCCTGTGAGAGGAAAGAACCTGCAATGTTTGCTCTCCTGGACCTTGCTTTCATGATCTCGCTGTAATGACCTTTCCTCCCACGAAGAGTAATGATCTTGAGTCTCTTTGCTACTGGGTAAGGCATTCAAAGATGTGCTCTCTCCCTTAATCTCTTAACTGGTCATACGCTGCTGGTAATGGTTTTCTGAAGGTAGCTGATTTCATTTAAGATATACGTTAGTTGGTGTCTGACCTCAGTGGGGGCAAAGCAGCATTTTCTGTTTTCTCATTGCAAGAGGAATAGTGAATCTGGTTAGAAGGCACAACAAGTCAGAAACACCTCATCAGCTTAAACCGCTTCCTCTGCCGTTTAAATTCCTTGTTACGTCTCTGCTTCTAATCAAGGAGGAAACAATTAAGGAGTGAGTTTGTGCTGTCAGTTAGGCTCAGCAACTTCTATTCTAATACAAGGACTTCAGGGCTCTAAATATGAGGAGGATTTGCAGCTTTATCTAAAATCCTGATGGATGAGCTTTCCCCGCTTAGTGTGTCATTGCAGCACTCAAGCACTAGGTTGTGCCAGTGCATCTGAGAATTTCCAGGCAGCGAAGAAAGACCAGACACCATCCAGGGAAGCACCAAGAATTGAGGAACATTTGTTTCAAGAACAGAGCTTTTCATCAAGTGAATTCTCATTTTTCCTGCCTTCCTTCTGCAAACCTGCAATACTAGCTGTGCAAAATGAACTGCTCGTCAGGCTTTCTGTGATATCCTGACACTCTGTCACTCCAGTTACAGAGCTGACAGTGTTGTGCTGGCAAATGGTGCAGTTCCTGTAAAATCACCTCAAGCCTCTTCTTTCTGTAACCGCTCATATTTGCTACTCAAAATACCAGGTTAACAGACCAGCATCTCTCTTCTGCTGGCAGCCAGCCATTTTGCGATTAGTGTTACAGGCAGAAAAATATACTTTCTCCTGAAAGGCAAATTTTAAAAATCAATACTAACATGTACAAACAGCTTAAACCTTTCAGAGTCGTTTCAGATAGCTGCCTTGCTAAATGGAGCAAATTCAAAGACATCTAAATATATAAATTCAAAGACATCTAAATATATATTTCACTGATGTAGTCAGGAAAGTATGGTAAAGCACAGTTTTCTCCTTGTCATCAGTTATTTTGGTAAAATTGAAACTGCAGAACTGAGATTTTTTTTTTTTTTTTTTTTAAAAAAAAGGCTCTGAACTGACATCATAGTGAATTTTATTATTACCTTGTTGAGGCCTCAAGCTTTGGCTAACACCACAGTACAGTAAGCCATGTGGTACTTGGAAATCCAGTTTGCCACTAGCAGCTAATTTTCCAGTTTTAGTCCCTGGAATGGCTTCATATTTTCTAAGGTAGTGTGGATGGCATTGCATGGAAAGAACATTTATTAAGCTTGCACTCTGTAATTGTGGTTAAATGAAAATTGGCTCTACTTGTACTTCTTCCTGTTACTGATAGCCTATCTTGGATCTAATTTTGGAATAATCAGATTTCCAATCACTGCGTATTATTATAATTTGAAAAAATTGGACATAAACATTGCCTTTTCCGTCTTTAAATCAACACATTCAAGGAAGTGTTGGGCTGAAAATCAGTAGTACTTTAAGAAAGTATTTTCCCTCGTTACTGCCAAAAACTACAACAAATATAAACCTCTACAGTATTGAAAGCTGAATGATTTACTTTGTAATTTTTGTCTACTCCTGAGCATTGAAAGCGAATATTCAACTCGAAAGTCAGGATGGTGCTGGTTTAACAATACCATCATTTAGTAGTCTTTAAAAAGACGATTGTGTTTCCCCCTGAATTGATGGGGAATTAACCCTTTGATCCGTGGCTCAGTGTTTTGTATTCAGACACCATTATCAGCCCTCGGATTTCATCCTGGACAGAGGTGCTGACACTGAAGGCACAGCAGTAGCCCCTGTGGAGGTTTGCACAGACCCTGCACAGGCAGGTGCTGGGACTGCACAGACCACACTCAGAAATGCTCATCCCTAAGCCAGATCCTGGGGTCTTGATTCAGCTGATATTTGACTTGAGTTGCTGTGGTTGACTCAAATACATGGGTATGCACGATGCTGTTACTTTATGCTTTTCCTAGCAACTAAAAAATATACATCCCGAGGATA